TTTTTTTTTAATCTAAAATGTTTTGTAATGATGCGATAAATATATATATATATGCTATTATTATATTATTATATTACTATTATTACTAATATTAAGATTGTTATTTGAATTATTATTTTGGTTATTGGTTAGTTGTGGTGATGATGGCATTGAAATTGAATTATTATTTAGTTTTTTATTATTTATATAACTTTGAATACCATATGGTAATTGTTTTTGAATTGAAGGGTCATAGCTTTCGTGAATTACATTATTTTCGTTTTCGCTTTTTTCTCTAAAAAAATTTTCGTGCGAGATTTGAATTTTCTTAAAATGATCCAATAAATTATTAAAATTAATATCTTTTAATCCTTCATTGTTATTCGAATTATTACCATCTTCATTTTGTCTTTATAGAATAAAATTATTTAATTGTTAGTAAATTAATAAATTAATGGTTTGGAATAAACATAATAATTACTTTTTTGGGATTAAATTTAAAACACCAAGTGAAGAGATACAAGTTAATCTACTTTTTAAAGTTTCAAAAGCAGAACTTTGTGGAAGTATCATTAATAGACCATATAAGCTTTTGAAAAGTGATGGATATTTTTCTGGTTCTAATAATTGTAATCTTAATGCCATGAATTTGGGTGACTCGAGTAACTGAACTAATCTATCCATCTCCATTAAAAAGTTTACATTAATTTCAATTTCGGTGCTAATAAAATAATATAAAAATTAGTATTGGTATTATTATTATTGGTTTGGTTATTAGTTTATAAAATATATATTTACAATTTTGATAAAAGATCGCAAGCATGTTCATAAACTTGGCAAAGTAAACAAAGACTAAATAGTGATGCAGGAGAATGGGCCCATGATGTATATAGAATTGAAAATAATTCCCTACTTTCAACAGTGGAAAGATTTCTAAGGTTTCTACGAATGTCAACACATTCATCAGAGGTTAAAAGGATGAGATTCAAAGTTTGGACCATTACACTTGCAAATTCTGGGTTATATTTACCATTTTCATCGCCAAGAATAGATGCAAATCTACGGAAAATTAATTCTGGATTTAAAAATAAACAAAGTTGACGAATAATAAAGTTGCCTCTAGTTCTAAGTAATTGAGATTCATTCGAAAATAATACTATTAAATTCTGCATTAATTTATTAAAGAGTTCGGTATTATCTGAAATTTTAGCAATTGTTTTTAAATCTAATTTTACAACTTCGTCACTATTATCTGAAAGTGTTTTTAATAATGGTGGGAATAAATCTTCTAAATAGCTTGAAATACCACTTGATAATTTATTATGTAAATTTAAAATCCAATTTAACGATGCTAGTCTTGATTGAACTGATTGGCTTGTTAAGTGTTGTGTATTAATATTTAAAAATTCGCTGTGTAAATAAAAAAAAAAAATTAATATAAAATCTAAAAATATATTTTTTTTTGTCAATAAATTAAAAACTTACCCAACTGGAAAGGTTTGATTTGTTTCAATTATTAATTTGCTTAAGTTAATATTCGATAAAGCGGCCATTTGCTCAATTTCAATAAGTTGATGTGATAGAGATGATAAAATGCCATTTAATAGAGATGGTGAATAAGGTAAAAGTTTCTCTTTTCCAACTAAAATAAATTCATTGGCCCATGTTAAAGCTCTGAGTCTTGTAAAGTCATCAGTACTAACGCAATGAGCAATTATAATTTTTACCATATTACCATAATCAACATTTTCTGCTGTTTGTAGTTCTCTGAGGAATTCTGAAAGTGCTTTGTCGACTTCGTTTCTTATTTCTTTATTTTGATCTTTGAGCATTTTAAATAAACCATCTAAATATTTTGGTAAATGAACTAACATATCTATATTTGGTACACTATCCAATACTACGACCCATCCAACCAAAAATTGTCTGCAAAAGGGATTGATAACATAAACTCTTTCTCTTAATAAGGGTATAAATCTAAAACAAAGAGTTTATTAGTATTTTTATTTTTTAATATTATTTTTATTTTTTTTATTTTAAAAACTTACTTATCTATATCAAAGGTTGGGCTTTCTGTAACAATATCTTTTAACAATCTATCGAATAATTGAGCACCTCCTTTAACTTGTGGATCTAAATCTGCAGATAATTTGCATAGTGCATCGAAAATTTCATTAAAAAAAAATAAAATTTTTGCTCTGGTAACCTTGGCAATATTAAATAATGATTCGCATGCATAAAATCTAACCCTTGAGTCATGATCGATAAAACATCTTAATACTGGTGGTACGATCTCTTGAATATATAAATAGGCATCCTTTAATTTTAGTTAGTAAAAAGAAATAATTTTTTTATTATTATATTATATTAATTTATTTTGATATTTACAGTTCCTAAACCAATTGCAATTGATGCTAAACCAATTAAACCACCTTTTTTATTATTGCCTTGGGCAGAGTCGGTATATTCCGTTGAAATTATTTTAATAATTGATTTAATTATGGCTTCATCATCGTTTGAATGATGGTCTCTAATTAATTGTTCAATTTCTTGAGCCCCAGCTTTTCTTTTATCTGTATTTTTATCTGTTAAATTCTTTAAAATAATTGAAGGAATAGGGGATGGATCTTGCACTTTACTCATCTTTTTCTAAAAGTTGTAACTTAGAATATGATGATATTAATTAATGTTTTTTTTAAAAAAAAATTTAACAAAATTAAAAAAAAAAATCAAAATTAAAAAAAAAATAAAAATAAAATTAAAATTTTTTTTTAAAATTTTTTTTTTTTTTTTTCAAAAAGAAAATTTCATTGACAAAAAAAACGAATTGTTTTCTTAAAATAATCATTATTCATATTCTTACTATTATATTTATATTTTATTTATATTTAAAATAAAAATATTTTAGTTCTATATTTATAGTTATAATTAAAATAATAATAATAATAATTATAATAAAATTTATTTTTATTTAAAATTATAATTTAAAGATGGCAAAAAGCGGTGGCGGTGGTGGCGGTAAAAGAAAGCTATCAAAAAAAGTAGCCAAAAAATACACACTTCACAGAAAATATTACTCTGATACAGTTCACGACTACTCTGAATTAAATCCATTTAAAAGAACTTCAAAATCCGATAAATATGCCGCAATTTCAGCTAAAGTAGCAGCTGCTAATCAAAGAGAAAAAGAACGTCAAGAGAAAGAAGAAGAGGAGGAAATTATTCAAGAGATTGGTAGTGCTGATGTCGATACATTATATGAAGTTGGGCCATCAGCTTATGATATCTTAGTAAAAACAACTCAAGATAAATTAAAAGCAAGATTAAAGCAATTAGAAGAGGAGGAGAAAAAAGAAAAAAAAGAAAATAGATTAAATAATAAAACCAATAAAACCAATAAAATCAATAAAATAGAATATAACGAAGAAGATGAAGATAATGAAGAGGAGGAGGAAGAAGAAGAAGAAGAGGAAGAGGATGCTGAAGAACAAATCGACGAAATGGAACAAGGCGAGGACGAAGATGTCCAAGAAGAGGTTGAAGAAATAGAAGAGGCCGAGGAAATGGAAGAAAATGAAGAATCAATAGAGTCATCAGGTGAAGAAAAAGAATTTGAGGATGTTTATGGTAAAAATGATGACAGTGGCGAAGAAGAGGAAGAAGAACAAATAAGTCAATTAAAAAATGATTCAAAATTTGAATCAACTAATAAACTTGATTATTATAATGTTCATTTCAACAGAGAAATTTCAAATCAAGCCGAATTAGACGAACTAGTTAAAAAATCTAAATCGTTAGAAAATGTATCAGAAGAAATTCAAGATATTGGTGTTATTACATCAGTTGGTTGCATCGATGAATTAAATGTTTCAACAGATATTTACTCACAATCAAATAAAAAATCAAGTGGTAACAATAAATCGGTATTACCAAAACAAAAGAATACTTTTCATGAATATGATATAAAGAAAAGATTATATAAACCATGGTTAAAATCAAAAACAAAGAAAGAAAATGAACTTTATTTCACCAATCTTCAAAAGCATTTATTCCCAATATTTAACGAATATAGAGATTTATTATTTACCGAAGAGTCAATGAAGAATCACAAGAGTATTTTCAAACTTTATGCATTACATGCTGTTAATCATATTTTAAAATCAAAGGATCAATTAGCTGAAGATAACGCCAAACAAACTCAATGTAGACAACAAAAATTAGAAGAGCCAGAACTCAAGCATCAAGGTTTCACTAAACCAAAGGTTGTTATTATAGTACCATATCGTAATACTGCTTTCGAAATCGTTAGATTTATTCTCAAATTAATGCCACACGAAGTAAAAGAGCAAGTCGAAAAGAAAACCAAATTTAACGATGAATTTACTCAATTGGATAAAGAGTTACAGGTCAACGAAAATAAACCAGACGACTATAAATACACATTTAGAGATAATATTGACGATTGCTTCCGTATTGGTCTTTCATTTAGAAAGGGTGGTCTTAAATTATATTCAACTTTTTATCACGCCGATATCTTAATTGCATCTCCATTAGGTCTTAGACTCGTAGTAGGTACTGAAGGTGATTCTCAAAGAGATTTCGATTTTCTTTCATCTGTCGAAGTTTTAATCATTGACCAAATTGAAACTATTCTTCAACAAAATTGGGATCATATCAAAATTTTATTTGAAAATATTAATAAAATACCAATCAAAGATCATAATATAGATTTCTCACGTATTAGAAATTCATACTTGGAAGGTTTTAGCAAAAATTTACGTCAAACTTTATTATTTAGTTCAATTTTAACACCAGAATTAAATTCAATTTTTAACCAAAATTGCAATAGTAGGTATTTTAATTTATTTTATTATTTTTAAAAATAAACATTAATTTTTATTTTTTATTTTTTTAGATATTGCAGGTAAAATTAGAATCAAAAAAATTAAAAGCGGTGAAATTGTAAATATCATTCCATCATTAAGACAAACTTTCCATAGATTATTTTTAGATTCAAGTGACGATATAACAATTAAGTTTAACTTTTTAGTTGAAAATGTAAATATAAAAATAATAATTTATACACTTTTGTAATAATATTAACTTTTTATTTTATTTTTTTTTTACATTAGATTATTCCAAAATTCAATCAACAAGGTGAATCAAGTGGTATTTTATTATATGTTTCAAATTATTATGAATTTGTAATGATTAGAAATTATTTTAGAAAAGAAGCAAAGAGTTATGTTTTATGCAGCGAATATACAGATACAAAAGCAATTACAAGAGCTCGTGCACAATTTAAAGAGGGTGTTAAAACTTTTATGTTATATACCGAGCGTTTCCATTTCTTTAATCGTTATAAAATTAGAGGAGTTAAACATGTAATCTTTTTTGGTTTACCACAAAATTCTCATTTTTACTCCGAAATTTTAAATATGATTAATGATAATGATGGTTCGATCATTTCATTATATACATTAAAGGATAAGTTAGCTCTAGAGGGTATAGTTGGTACAAATAGATTTTATAAAATGATTGATTCTGATAAGGAGACTCATTTATTCACATCATAAAAAAAAGCAAAAAAAAGTAAATAAAATAAAATTTTTTTTTTAAATAAATAATTACAAAAAAAGATTCATAGTTTTTATTTAATAAATTAGAAATAAATAATAATAAATAGATAGTATTAATACTAGTTAGGAGTGTCATTAAAAAGTGGATTTTCACCACCATTTGGATTGGCTTCATATAATGGATTTGAGTTTGAAGCGGTCATTGTATTTGCTTGTGAGTCTTTCCAGTAGTCATAACCTTTTTTACCAGCGAAAATAGCAGCACCTAATGCAACGGCGCCAGCAACAACTACACCAGCTACAACAGCAGTTGAAACAACAGCGGCAGTTTTACAAACAAATGGTTGTGGGTCATAGTTTATAGATTCGCATTTACCGTTTGTTGGTGTTGTACCATTAACACAAACACCTTTTTGACATTTGGCATTATCAGCAGCACATCTTCTATCATAAGTTATGCATCCAAGAGATTCATCACATTCGCTTACTAAACAATATGCTGTACTGCTACAAGTTCTATTTTTAAGTAAACAACCTTGATCTGGATCGCAATATCCAACTATTATATAATAAAATTTTAGTTAGTTTTAATATAAAAATATAAATATATTGAAGTTTTAATGATAATTACCTTGACATTTTCCACTATCAGGACAAACCTTATTTGTTGAATAACAGCCGGTTTCAGAGTTACAGCTCCATATTAAGCATTTATTGGTAGTATTACAAGATTTAACTGAGCTTTGACATGTACCTAGGTTTGAGTTGGATGGGTCAGCAACACATTTATTATCTGTACACAGATTACCATCTTGACATAAAGAATCTGTTGGGGAACAAGTGCCGCTCTTTGGGTTACAAACATTGCACCCAGTACATGTTGTAACTGGATCATGAGTTACAGCACCAGTAGAGTTGTTACATACATCGATGGTACATGCATTTCCATCGTCAATATCAATTCTTAGTGGTGAACATTGACCATTAACACAGTTGTTTTTTTCGCATGCATTTAACTTACCTTCACAACCACAATCACATTCGCTTGCTGAAAGTGTATTTGTACCACAAACACCATTTGAACAAGTTGCAACAATACATGGGTTTGATCCTTGTTTACATAATGGTTCTGAAACACAACCTTTAACTGGGTCGCAAGAGTAGATCTTACATTTATCATTGTCTAATTCTGATGCACATGTTGAGTTGGATTTTACTTCGCAAGTACCACTATTACAAACACCAGTATTACAGATACCAGTACATGCTTGAGTATAAAGACATCCTTGAGTAGCATCACATTTGTCTAAAGTCATACATTGCCCTGCTTTACTTGGACATGGAATTGTTTGTTGAACACATTGACCAGTACTCATACTACATGTATTGTTTGAGCATTTATCGATAACGGCACATGTTTTTGGAATATGTTGGCAATAGTCTTTAATTGTAAATCCTGGTTGAATTACAGTATCAGCGGGAGGGCATATGTCGGAGGTACAAATATTGTTGTCGTCACATAATGTAGCTGAGCAACATGTACTACCATCACCACGACAAACCTATTTAAAAAAATATTAATATTAATATTTTATATAACAAAAAACAAATAAAATAAACTTACATTGCAGTAGTCATAGAATGGACAAAAGGTTTGAATGTTGGTTTCGACTCTAATAGTCGAGGCAGTAGTGTGTCTTTCGCAGTAGAAAAAGTCGAAATTATAAGTTGTACCTTTAACTAATTTTTGTCCATTAATTGTTAGAGTGGTTAAATCTACACTTTTCGAGGCAGCAGTATGGAGACCTCCGAGATCTATAACTAAATAGTCATTGATAAATACCCAAACATCATCATCGCCTATAAAATTGAAAACTTCTATTCCTTGGAATGTAAATTTAGAATTGATTTTTAAACAAACTAATTTTTAAAAAAAAATTATAAAATTAGAAATTTAAAAAAATAAATAAAATTAAAAAAATTAATTACAATGGAAATTATGGTACTGGGTATCGTTATTATAAACTCTATAGCTTGGGTCAACATCAAAACCTTGATAATCAACTATTTTAAAAAAAATTAATATAATTTAAATAGTTTTTTTTTAATTATTATTTACTTACTTGGGAAGAAATATTGATTATCATACACATAAACTCCTCTTGTTGGATCTAAGGTTAAGTTTAGTTTAATAGTCATTGGAACATTCAAACCAGAGTTAGTGGTTTTTGGGGCACCAGTGTTACTTTGGTAAAAATATTGGTATAGATTTGGGGAATTCATACGACCATTTTGATTTACAGTTGTGTATTGTAATAGCGATACAAGGTCTGGTACTCTGGTTGTAGAGTTAATATTAGGTAAAACCATTCCAGGAGTTAAACTACCTATGGCAGGTTCAAAATTGTCATTATATAGTGGAAATTGGTCATAAATAAAACCTTCTAGTTGTAAGAGAGCTGATTTCGAAATAAAAATATATTAATATAAAAATAAAAAATAAATACTTGTTTTTAATATTTACTTTGTTGTGAGTTGTCAGCTTTGATTAAAATAATATATTTTATAAGAAATAATATAAATAATAAAGTCTTTTTCATTTTTTTAAATTAAATATTAATGATACAGTTATGATTAAAATGGTGAAAAAAATGAAAATATTTATAATAAAAAAAAAAAAAAAAAAAAAAAAAAAAAAATAAATAAAAATGATATAAATATAATTTAATAAAAACAAAATAAAACAGAAAATAAAAATAAACTTGATAAAGAATAAAATAATATCAAAAGTTATTAAACTCTGAATTTAATTTTTATACCCCGCTTAATAAAAAGAATATTTATATAAAAAATAAACTAAATTTTTCTCATAAAAAAATGGGGGTCACAATAAGAAATTATTTCATTTTTTTAACTGCGGGGTGTTTAGGTGGTATAAAATCAGATATAATCATGATTGAAAATCTAGATTTATATGATTTGTGTTAATGTACAGAAATAAAAAATAATTATGTATTTTATATAACGTTTTTGTTAATATGGACAATAAATAAATTTTTTTTTTTTTTTTTCAATAAATTTTTTTATTTGAAAATAATTTAAATAAATAGATAGATATGTATATTTTAAAATATAGTGATGGTTGTAATTTTTTTTTTTTAAATTAAAATTGAAATTAAATTAAATGTTTTTTTAGTTCAAATCTTCGTTAAAGAGTGGATTTTCACCACCGTTTGGGTTTGATTGGTAAAGTGGGTTGTTATTGGCACCACTCATAGTAATGTTTTGCGATTCTTTCCAGTAGTCATAACCTTTTTTCCCTCCATAAACAAATGCAGCTAAAGCAACAGCTCCGGCAACAGTAACACCAGCAATAACAGCAGTTGAAACAACAGCGGCAGTTTTACAAACAAATGGTTGTGGATCATAGTTTACAGATTCGCATTTACCATCTGTTGGTGTTGTACCATTAACACAAACACCTTTTTGACATCTGGCATTATCAGCAGCACATCTTCTATCATAAGTTATACATCCAAGAGATTCATCACATTCGCTCACTATACAATATGCTGTGCTGCTACAGGTTCTATTTTTTAGTAAGCAGCCTTGATCTGGATCGCAATATCCAACTAAGTTATTTTTATATAAATTAAAATGATTAGTGCCTTTTTTAGTTTTGAAATATAATAATTAATGATATTTACCTTGACATTTTCCACTATCAGGACAAACTCTATCAGTTGAATAGCAACCAGTTTCAGAGTCACAATTCCATACTAAGCATTTATTGGTAGTAGTATTACATGATTTTACTGAGCTTTGACATGTACCATAGTTTGCATTTGATGAATCGGCAACACATTTATTATCTGTACATTCGTTACCATCTTCACATAAAGAATCTGTAGGGACACAACCACCAGTTTTTGAATTACAGACCATACAACCAGTACATGTTGTAACTGGATCGTGAGTTACAACACCAGTAGAGTTGTTACATACATCGATGGTACATGCATTTCCATCGTCAATGTCAATTCTTAGTGGTGAACATTGACCATTAACACAGTTGTTTTTTTCGCATGCATTTAACTTACCTTCACAACCACAATCACATTCGCTTGCTGAAAGTGTATTTGTACCACAAACACCATTTGAACAAGTTGCAACAATACATGGGTTTGATCCTTGTTTACATAATGGTTCTGAAACACAACCTTTAACTGGGTCGCAAGAGTAGATCTTACATTTATCATTGCCCAATTCTGATGCACATGCTGAATTGGATTTTACTTCACAAGTACCACTATTACAAACACCAGTATTACAAATACCAGTGCATGCTTGAGTATAAAGACATCCTTGAGTAGCATCACATTTGTCTAAAGTCATACATTGGCTTGCTTTACTTTGACATGGAATTGTTTGTTGAACACATTGACCAGTACTCATACTACATGTATTGTTTGAGCATTTATCGATGACAGCACATGTTTTTGGAATATGTTGGCAATAATCTTTAATGGTTTTTCCTGAAGCAATTACAGTTTCAGGTGATGGGCAAATATCATCTGTACATGGGTTTCCATCATCACATAATGTAGCTGAGCAACATGTACTACCATCACCACGACAAACCTATTTAAAAAAAATAAATTAATATTTAATAGTTATCAATTGAAAAATAAAATTAAAAATAACTTACATTACAATAGTCATAGGTTGGGCAAAAAGTTTGTAAATTGGTTTCAATTCTAATAGTCGAGGCAGTAGTGTGTCTTTCGCAGTAGAAAAAGTCGAAATTATAAGTTGTACCTTTAACTAATTTTTGACCATTAATTGTTAGAGTGGTTAAATCTACACTTTTCGAGGCAGCACTATGAAGACCCCCAAGATCGATAGCCAAATAGTCATTGATAAATACCCAAACATCATCATCACCTATAAAATTGAAAACTTCTATTCCCTGGAATGTAAATTTAGAATTGATTTTTAAACAAACTAATTTTTAAAAAAAAAAAATTAGAAATTTAAATATTTTTAAATATTTTTAAATATTATAAAATAATACATACAATGAAAGTTGTGATAAACGCTACCATTTGAATATATTTTATAGCTAGAGTCGACGTCAAAGCCTTGGTTATCAACTATTGATTTTTTTAAAAAAAAAATTAATATTAAAAATAAATTTCCAACAGGAACCATTGGTTTTTAATTGGTTCTAAGCATAACTTACTTGGGAAGAAATATTGATTATTATAAACATATACACCTCTATTTTCATCTAGTGTTAAATTAAGTTTAATAGTCATTGGAACATTTAGACCTGAGTCTGAAGTTTTTGAGGCACCGGTATTACTTTGGAAAAAATATTGGTAGAGGTTTGGTGTATTCATACGACCATTTTTATTTACAGTTGTGGATGTTGACAATGATACAAGGTTTGGTACTCTGGTTGTAGTATCGATATTAGGTAAAACCATTCCAGGAGTTAAACTACCCGTTGCTGGTTCAAAATTGTCATTATATTTTGGAAATTGGTCATAAATAAAACCTTCTAATTGCAAGATGGCTAATTTAAAAAAAAATTAAAATTTATTTATTTTATTTTATTTTATTTTAATTTATTTCATTTCAATAATTACATGGTTGGGAGTCATCAGTATAAACCAATGAAATAAAATTTAAAATTAAAGTAAAAAGTAAAAGTACAATTTTTTTATCCATTTTTTTTATATATTTATATTTATATAAAAATATAAAAATTTATTTATTTTGTTTTGTTAATTTACAAGGTTATTATTATATTGGTGAAAAAAAAAAAAAAAGGATGAAAGTATGTAATCAAAAAAAAAAATTAAAAAAAAATTAAAAAAAAAAATGATTTAAAAAAACAATAGAAATCTTACTCAAACTCTATTTAATAAAAGAACAAATAAAATAATCAAAATTTATAAAACTCTGAATACGTTATTACACCATACCCCATGTACGTTTTAAATATGCACAAATTTAAAATTAAAAAAAAAAATTTTAAATTTTGGTTTTTACAATGCACCAAAAAAAATCTTTATTATAAAACTAACTTTAGCCAAAAGAGAGCTATACAAAAAGCACTTTCACAATTGTGATTATGGGTATCATTTTGTATCTGTTTACCATCAGGCCACACCAAACAAAAAAATTTTTTTTTTTTTTTTATTTTAATTTATTTTTGTGTAATTATTATTATAATATATTAACAAGGATTTTAAAACATGATTAATCTAGATTATAATGAAAGGGTTTGTGAATATCTTGAGAGTGGCTTAGTGCAGACGTATGCGTATAAAAAATCTTTTTGGTTGTGTATTTTATAGAGTTAAATTAACAATACAAAAAATAATTATCTAAGAGTCTTTTTGAAAGCTATAAATATAAATAAAAAAATATGTATAACATAATTTTAAATTTAAAAATAAAATCAAAAAATTAAAAATAAAGAAAAAAAAAAAATTTTATTTATTTTTTTTAAAATAAAATTTAAAAAAAAATAAAATAAAAAAATTATTTGAACGAAATACCAAATATGAATGATATAAAAGATTATAAGGATAAATCATTTCTTGATAAGTTATCAAAAGAAGAATTAATAAACTATATACTTTCAAATAATAATGAAAATAAAAATAACCACCAAAATAAAAATAACGAAAATAAAAATAATAAAAATGATAGAATAAAAAAAAAAGATAAAAAGCCAAATGTAAATTTTGATAAATGCCATAGAAGATATGTTGCATTCAAGGTTTCATATGTTGGATGGCCATACCATGGTTTTGCAGCACAGGACTGCACTGATGAAACAATCGAGGGTCATCTTATTAAAGCATTAAAAAGAACAAGTTTAATTTCAGATATTAAAACCTCAAACTATGCAAAGTAAATATAGAATATTACCAGTAATAATTTATAACAAAAAGAATTTTTATTAATATATATATGTATCTATCTTAAATATAGATCAGGTAGAACTGATAAAGGTGTGTCAGCATTTGGTCAAGTTATTTCACTTTATGTTAGATCAAATTTAACTGAGGGTGAAGGTATCATTGCACCATTAGATCAATCAGGTGGTCCAATTTCAAATAGACCAAGTAAAAATAATAATAATAACAGCAACAGCAACAATCAAAAACAACAAAATAAAGCAAAAGAAGAATTCCCATATGTCAAAATGTTAAATGGTGTTTTACCACCTGAAATCAGAGTTTTGGGTTGGGCACCAATTCCATTCCATTTTAATTCAAGATTTAGCACACTTTTTAGAACCTATAAATACTTTTTCACATTAAATAATATGGATCTAAATGTAAGAAAACTAAACAAAATTCATAATCATAATAATATAATTATAATTTCATACTAACCATTTTATTATAGTTAATGAAAGAAGCAGGTAACCATTATTTAGGTGAACACGATTTTTCAAATTTTTGCAAGATGGATATTGAAAATGTTAAAAGTTTTAAAAGGGTTATATTGGAATTTTCAATTGAGCCAGTAAATAATCATAATGATCTATATGTAGCAACTATCAAGGGGTATGCATTCCTTTGGCATCAAATTCGTTGTATGATGGCGATGTTGTTTTTAATTGGTCAAAAGAAATTCCCTGTTTCAATTATACCAGAATTATTAGATACCTCAAATGGTATTACCAAACCTCCCTACGAAATGGCATCTGAAATACCTTTAGTTTTATTTGATTGCGGTTACGAGGATTTAGAATTCATAATTGATAATGGTAAGAAACATAAAGACAAAGTTTAGCTTCAAATAAAATACTAATGACCTTTTTTTTTTTAAAATAGATGCTCAAGAAAGAACATTAAGTGTTATGAATAATCTATATAATCAATTTTTAATTAAATCCCAAGTTATTAATTTAATGAAATCAAACTTAACTTTTATAAATAAACCTATTGAAGACAACACCAACTCAAATAACAACAATAATAAATTTAATGGTGAAAAAAGGAAATCTTTAACCGAAAGCGAACAATCAGAAAATAAAGGCGACAGTTTACCAACCGAAACTAGTGTAACCACCACAAATGTATCTATTGTCGAAAGACCAAAAAGACAAAAAAATTAAAATTAAAATAAAATCAATAATAAACAAACAATAACTTAACAGTTATAATATTATAACCATATATAAATAAATAATATTATAATAAAATAGTAATAATTTAAAACAAGGTTATATTTATTATTCTATTTATTAAAAAAAAAAAAAAAAAAAAAAAAACAATTTTTTACGAAGTTATATATATTTAAAATCTATATCTATCTAAAAAGATATTATAACACTTAAATAGCAAGATAAAAAAATTAAAAACAATTAAAATTATTTTTAAGTATATGTATACATCATATAGTTTAAAAAATAAAATAATTAAATTAGTTGGTTATTATATTTTTAATTTTAAAATATAGTTTCATTGTTATTTTTTTATTAGAACTATTTAAAGTGCACACAAATGTACACATATATTTTTATATAAATTTTTGTAAATCAAAATATAATTTAAAAATAAATATTATGTGGGTATTAATGAACAAGTAAAAATTAAATTTAAATTATGTGTTGTTTCTCTTTAATTCCTGACATACTAAAAATAATTTAATATTAGCATTTATTTCTTACTATATTTTATTAAAATAATTTTTATTTGGGAATAAAGTTATTATACAATCATAATTTAATAATTATTATTTTTATTTTTATGTTGTGTTTCAAACAAAAATAACCCCCCCACTAACACTTAATCTATCCACCCCTATACATTTTCGAAAAACAAATTAGATTAAATTACAAAATTTATCTATTTGGATTTTTATTTTTTAATTTAAATTATTATTATTTATTTAATGAAATTATTTAATTTTTTATTAAATAAATAAATATATATTTTTTTTATTATATTTTATAATAAAATAAAATAAAATATTTGATAAAAATAAATCATACTTATTATTAATATTCCTTTATTTTCTTTTTCTTTTCTATTCTTTTTAAAAACATTAACAATATTTATTTATACTTTTGTTGTTTTAATTATAAAAAATATAAATCATAATTTTTATATTGTTTAGTTGGTTTTTTATAAATCTAATAAAAATGAAATTAAATTTTATTTTATTAATAGTATTTTCAATCTTTATTATAAACATTTTTAAAATAAATGCTGGTAAACTATATTTTTTTTTTTTTTAAATAATTTTTTAAACTTTTATTAACATATATTTTTTTTTTAATTGAAAAGAGGTATTTAATGAATTTGAAATTCATGAACAATTAGAAGCGGATGAATGGAAGTCGCCCTATCAAAAGAGAGAAGAAGCTAGATTAGCGGCACAACAAGATGAAATGAGAAGACTTACAGGTTATGCAACAACCGGAAAATCCCCTACAAACGTAAATAGATGTACAGGTATAAGATGCCCAAGTGGATATACTTGTAATCATGAAGGTGTTTGTGTAAAGCCATGTGGAAGAGTATGGTGTATTGTTTCTACTGAGTGTGAAAAGGATCTATTTGGTATTAAATTCTGCAGGTAAATATAATAAATTATTAATCAATAAGAAAAACATATAATATTAATACATTTTTTTTAATTATCAATAAACAGACCACCAAGAGGAAAAAAAGATCCAAAATAAATATAATACATTATTTAAATTATTTATTTTATTTTTATTTTTATTAAAAAATTATATTATTAAATAATAAAAAGTAAAAGGAAAAAAAAAAAATATAGTTTTTTTAAAAATTTTTTATTTTTTTGTTTATTTTTTTTAATTATTTTTTCATCATTTATGTATTTTGGGAATATTGATGAATAATACAGGCATATCGAATTCATTTGCTAAAGGTGGTATTAATAAATGAAATATTTACAAGAAAAGAAAATCAAAAAGAGAAATTAACAGTTAGAGTTTTAGGTTTATTAAAAGAAATTAATATTGGATCACAACTTGGCATACTCGAATTTGAAGGATTTTCGATTGTTTTCTCTCTAAGCTCATTTATCTCAAATTTGCCATCAAAACTAAACTGCACTATCAAATTACTGGTGAACTATATAAAACAAATACAACACAAAAAGAATATATTCAAGAAAAGAAAATTGGTATCTGATGAAAATATTAACGAGGAATTTATGTTAAATGCACGAATTTATAGATTAGTGGAAGATATAGATATTAATTTATTTAAAGAATCCTTATCAGTAAAAAGAAAATTTGAATCCCAAATTAATAAAAATAAAATAATGTAAATAATTAAAATAAATAAATAAAAATGTAATATACAGTAATTTAAATAAACTAAAAAAAAAAAAAAAAAAACTAAATATTGCTTTATTATTTTTATTTATTTTTTATATCGTTAAAACGTCTTTTTCTTTTAAATTTTGAGAAACAAAGCCATTGCTATTATCACTTGATGTTGTTGGTTTCCTTTCGATTCTTAATTCAAAATCTTCAGAAAAGTCTTCACTTTGATAAGATTCTGCTGAAGCTTTATTTCTATCCTGTTCTATTAATTTTTCTAAATCGTCTTTTCTTTGGGACTTTGGACTAACTCTAGAAATATTATGATTGATGTTATTATTAATATTATTTACATTTAAATTTTTATTTATATTACTATTATCATTATTTTTATCATTATTAGTATTATCTATATTATTAGTTGTATTACCATTAGTTTTGTTATTATTTACAGAGGTAGTGGATGTTAAGAATGGTGAAACAATTTTGTTTGGTGCACTGCCATTATTTGGTGATTTATTTAAAGGTGGAACTGGTTGTGAAAAAATAGCTGCTGTTGATTTAAAAGATGGACTTGGTGGTGAGTTTGGTTTATTAATTGGTACTGATAATTTGTTTGTATTAGTACTATTATTGGTTGATATTGCTGCTGCTGGTTTATTTGTATTAGCTACTGCTGCTGGTTTGTTTATATTGGTTGCTGCTGGTTTGTTTATATTGGTGGCCGCTGGTTTATTTATGTTGGTGGCTGCTGGTTTGTTTATATTAGTTGCTGCTGGTTTATTCAAACTGATTGCTGCTGGTTTTGGGACTGCTGTTGATGTTGATACAATAGTTGGTGATGTTTTATTATTTGGTTTAGTTGCTGTTGCTGTTGAAACAGTAGTATTATTTGAACGTGGTGATATTGTGCTTGCAGTTGAGGTGGTTGTTACTGGAACTGATGTTGTTGATGTTGATGGTGATATCTTGTTACTGTTTGTCGATGCTGTAGAAACAACAGGACGTGGTGAGACAGTGGTGGGCTTATTTACACTAGCAGAGGTGGTTACACGTGGTGAAACTGGTTTAACTAAGACTGATGCTGTACTTGTACTATTTGATGGTGATAATGAATTTGTTGGTGATGGTGTTGATGATGGTGTTGATGATGATGATACCTTTGTTATTGAACGTGGTGATACAGAAGTTTGACTTGATGGGGATGTTAAAGATGGGGGAGATAGTGTTGTAGTTGGTTTTGGTGAAATTGTTTTTTCATTTGTATTAGGTGAAGTTTTTAATACTGGAATAGTTATATTCTTTGTTGATTTGACACCTTCTTTCTTTTCAGTTGGGCTACTTTCAATAACTGGTTTATTTTCAACACTTTCAATTGGTTTAGTAACTGGTTTAGATGGTTTAATTTCACCAATTGGTTCAGATGGTCTAACTTCAATAGCTGGTTCAGATGGTTTAATTTCAGTAACTGGTTTATTTTCTATAACTGGTTCTAATGGTTTGGTTTCCTCAATAACTGGCTTAATTTTTTCGGTTGCCTCCTTATCTTTTGGTTTAGTTTCTTCAACCGGTTTTATTTCATCTGATTTCTTCTCTTCCTCTGCAACTTGTTTAATATCGATAGCTGATTGGGTTTCAATGGCTGGTTTGGTTTCTTCAACTGGGTCAAAAATAAATGATTTTTTTTCTTCTTTTTCAACAACTGTACTAAGATCCTCCTCGACAACAATTGGTTTAATTTCATCAACTGCTTTTTTATCCTCTTCGACCACAATTGGTTTGGTCTCGATTGGTTTCTTTTCCTCAACAACTGTTATTTTCTCTTCAATAACTAATTTTTCTTCGACCCTATCTGATTTTTCTTCGATAACTTTAGTTTCAACCTCAACATTTGTTGTTTGAATCACTGGATTACTATTACTTTCATTTGATGTATTTGCATTATCTTTTTTGCTAACCAAAGCATATTCATCGTCGAGTTTTTGCATGTCTGAAAAATCGAAGGGAGTTTGTTGGTGGGCAATAGTAACACGTCTTGATGGTGGTTTAACGCTTAATCTTTTAACTCTATCTTTTGTGAGATGGGTCAATTCTTTTGGTTGTGATGGAGAGGCTAAATTATTTTCATCCTTTGGTTTTTCTGATGATCCACCAGATGAGCCGGTGGCACCACCATTAACTGAAGCTCCGCTACTACCACCACCTATTGGTAAGGGTGGTTGCCCTATTAACATTGATAATCTATTTGCAAATTCTGAATTTCCTTTTAATGGACTATTACCTCTATTTGGTTGGACTGCAATTGAGTTTCTGTATGATATTTTGTTTCCAGTTGGTGAGTCAGTTTTAATATTACTATTGTTATTTGTATTATTATGAAATGGTGATTGAATTTTGCCTGGAGTTGGTTTGTTACTTGATGGTGGTATATTTTTTGTTGGGGTTTCCTGTGAACTGGATAATTTTGCTGGTGGAGAAATCTTTTCTGTTGGAGACGATGAGGCCTTTTCTGGCGAAACTACGATTGATGGTTGGTTTGTAGGTGATAATTTTTCTGGTGATGATTTCTCTGGTGATGGTGGTTTTTTATTAGTTATTGTTATTGGTGCTGTTGGTGATTTTTCTTTATGCTTAAGATCATCTGTAATAGTAGTACTAGTAGTTGTGGTTGTTGGGGATGTTGATTTATTATTATCTGTATCATTTAATGGTGAAGTGCTACCTACAGCTTGAGGTTGTGATTTTGATTTATCTGAATCATTTGGTGTTGATAGTGGCTCCTTTTCTTTTTCCTTTTCTTTCTCTTTCTCTTTTTCTTTTTCCTTTTCTTTTTCTTTTAATTTATCCTCTTTAATTTTATCCTTTTCTTTCTCTTTTTCTTTTTTATGTTTTTCTTTTTCTTTTACTTTATCTTCCTTTGATTCATCTTTATTTTTTCTAAAAATAAAAAATTAAGAAATTAATAAAACCTTTTTAAATTTAAAAAAATAAAAATAAATGATTTAATACTTTGATAAACCTATTTTTTCAAATAAACTTTTCTTCTTTTTTTGTTTTTTTTCTAAATCTTGGGTTGGGTTGTTTGTATCCATAGCTTTATAATTAACTATATTGAGTTATTGATATTAATTTAAATATAATACAAATGGATGAATAAATAAATAAATAGAAATACTACAAATAATAATTATTATTATTTATAAATAAAATGGCAATGATAAATATTAAACAAATAAATTATGTGTAAAAAATAATATAGATACAATTAATTAATTAATTTGGTTTTATAATAAAATTTATTTTTTTAAAAATTTTAATTTTAAAAATAAAAAATTTTAAAAATAAAAAATTAATAATATATATAAATAGGTTTATGTATATTTTATATTTGTGTATTATTATTTATTATTTATGTATGGATGTACAACTACAACACAAATAAAAAACAAAATTAAACACACACTATGCTAATTTAAAAATAAATAAAAAAATAAAATTTTTTTTGAAAATTATATTTTTAAATTTGTTTAGAAAAAGTTTTTAACACACAATATATTTCCCACACAATATATTTTATAAATAAATAAATTTATAATAATAATTGTATTTAAAAAAACAAAATAAAAAAAAAAAAAAAAAATAAAAAAATAAAAAAAAAAAATTCAAATTTTTTATTTTCATTTTTCTTTTAAAAAAAAAAAAAATTATAATAAAAACACAAATGGAATGATTTTTATATTCAAATAATTAATAAAAAAACCAAATATAACAAATAATAGTAAATATGAATAATTTTTTTTATTTTTATTTTTATTTTTTTTTTAAAGGAAATAGTGTTTATCTCCAATTTTATCTTTTTATTTGAATTTTTTTAATTAACCCCAATGTCATTAATTTGACAAAATTTGCAACTTTCAACCCACAATTTACGCATATTATTAATATTTGTGGAGAATTGTGAGGTGGTTTCCAATTTCAATATATTGAAATATTGACCACCCTTAATATCGTGAAGATCTGGGTCAGATCCAATGGCTAAACGTGACACAGCTATGGATGCAGTATTAACATCTGTTAAAAATGGCTTTGCAATAGATAATGCGAAATGAGCATATCCTGGTAAATGTCTAAATAAAGTGGTGTCTGGAATAACACCTGGATGTAATGCTAAAACAACGATATTTGAATTTCTTGCTTTTAAAATTCTATTTAATTCATAAGTAAATAAAAGTGTACATAATTTTGAATTACCATAACTAACCATTGGTTTATAGTTTTCCTTGGATTCATTTAATTTGTTTAAATTTAAATTTGCTTTTTTGTAAGAGTGTGATGATAAATTTACAATTCTTCCAGTTTCTTTGTCAATTGAATCTAATAAAAGATTGGTCAATAAAAATACACCAAGATGATTAACACCAAATTGAGATTCGAATCCATCCTTTGTTAAGCTATATGGAGGACAATAGATACCTGCATTATTTATTAAACAATCTAATGTTACATTTAAATTTTTAAATTCATTTACAAATTTTTTGATACTCTAAAAAAAAAAAAAAAAAAACTTTAAAATTAGCATATATCGATAAAATTTTTTTTTTTTTTTAATTACTTACATCGAATGAACTTAAATCCAGTTCTAATGATAAGACTGAATCTGAAATATTTTTTAAATCATTTAAAACAAGCCCTGCTTTGTTCAAATCTCTATTTGCTAAAATTACAAAATAATGTGCTTTTGCCATAATAGATGCTATTGTTTTACCAATACCAGCACTAGATCCTGTTATAATGCAAACTTTTTGTTTTTTTAAATTATTTTCAACAGACATTATTTAATTATTATTATATTTATTCTTTATTCTTTATTTATTTTAAATGGTATAAAAAAAAAAAAAAAAAGAAATTTATTTATACTAAAACTAAAAGAAACATACAATATTTAGGTGTCAAATAAAAAATTCAAATTTATTATAAAATTGAAATCGTATTCTATTTTTATTCCCCAGGCAAACCAATTAATTAATAAAAATAAGATTTTTTTTCGAATTGGATATTTTTTAAATTTGAAAAAAAAAAAAAATAGAAAAAAAAAAGAAAAAAATTTTGGAATAGCGTCTGATGGAATTATGATGAAAGCAAACTCCTAAAAAATAAGAGATGATATTTTGAAAATAAAAATATTTTTATAGAAATCATTATATATTTTTCAGAAGAGTTTTTTAAAAACCATTCAGGTGGTAATTTATAATTTGACTATTTATAGTAAAAAATCAATAAGTATAGCCTGGGTAAAAATGAATAAAAAATTCATTGAAAAGAACTTATATAGAAATAAATCATCAAAAATAAAATTAATAAAAAAAATAATTTAATTTTTTAAAAAAAAAAAATTTTCGTTTTTTTTTTTTTTTTTTTTTTTTTTATTATTTTTTTTTTATTCACACATTATTGATAGTAAAATGATATCAATTAATCAATTAAATCAATTAAATAAATTAAATAAAATAATAATAATAAGAAATTATTCCATACTTTCAAAAAAAAATATTACAAATTCAGTTAGAAAAAATGAAGAGAATGATTATGTAAAAACCAAACCAAATACCCACATAAACCACTTTAACAATAATGCAATAACATCGCCACCAAAACCAAAAAAACAATTGTTTTCATCGATACAGTTTAAATTAGATGAAAATGATGAACCATACGAAGTCCCAGAGAATTCAAGAGTGATTACAACAGATGATATTTTAATTGACCCACGTAGTTCGCTAGAGTACCTTTTTAGAGCAGACGAAGATCAAGACCAAGATGGCGAAGCTGAAACAACCCCAATGAACATGGCAGAGGAATATATTTGTAGATTATTAATCGAGGAAACAAAAAAAGATGCCGCAGAAGACGAGTTCTTTTTTCAACAAATTACTGCATTACCAGAATGGAATGATTATAACGACCACATACTAAGAGAAGTAAAGAAATTAGAACTTGAAGAATTTTACAACCCATTACCAGAAAACAAACGTTTAACAAATTATTACGAGAAAGAAAGAATTAAAAGAGTTAATGAAATCAGAAAAATTCACTTAATTCCAGTCAGAGAAGCAATTAATAGAAGATATAAAGAACTTGAAAAAGAGTTGGATTTAGTTATAGAGAAAAAGATTTTAGTAACAATGAAAAATACAAAATTAACAAGGGAACAATTAAAAGAACACAAAGATTTCAAATACTTGTTTGACGAAAACTATGATCCAAAACATGAAATATTCACCGATAAAGACGATTTAGATATAATTTTAGAGGAAATCAATGGACCATTGGATTCAGTACCTTCAGTTATAAAGTCTATAGTCCAAGCCTCCAAAGAAAATTTTGAAAAGGATATGAAATTTAGAAACCAAAGATTATTATTGGAAGCCTCACAAAACAATGATAACTTTAATGATTATGAAGCAGAAGAGCTATTAATTAAAAATAAACCACAACAACAGGCACAACAACATCAACAAAAATATCAAATTAATGACACTAAAATCGAAACAACAACACCACCACAACAAGAAAAACCAAAATTATCATTCAGTGATATTATCAATGATAAATCAATAAAATCAAATAACAAAAATAATTATTTAAACAACGAAGAAGTGTTTGATTTAAAATCAATTTTAAACAGCATGGGTAAAAAAGTTTAAAATGTATAATAAAAATAAATAAAATAAAATAAATATTTTTTATTAATTCTTTTTATAAATGCTTTTTTTTTTTTTAAAAAGATATAATAAACACTATTCCCTATTTTTTTTATACTTATTCTTTTTTTAAAATAAACTCTAAATTGGTTCTTGTATTTGCATTTAATAAAATAAATTTGGTGACTGGGATATAGCCATTGGCACTTGCAGTAATATTATAAAAGCCATCATCTAATAATCTTGTATAATAACCATTGGCAGGATCTGTAGTAATGGTACGTTCATTTCTTGCAACCTTGATTTCAGCCAATAGATTTTCATTCTTTTCATTGGTGACTCTTCCATAGACGCCCAATCTTAATGGTAGCCCTATAAATTTCAAAAGTGACTTTCTATTATCATCCCAATATTTATTAAGTTGGTTTGAATCTGGTATTTTATCATAAGAAAGCTCCAAAGTTATTTCCATATTGTTTGTAAAATCATAGTTCCACTATTTTAAAAAAAAAAAAATTAATATTTTAAAATTAATATTGATTAAAATAAAAAACCTACGTCTTGCATTCCACCTCTTAGGGTATACCATTTGGCGCCATTAACTATTCCACCTAAAAATTCTGATGATTTAGACATTTCACGATGATTTAGTGAATAGGTCAAAGCCATCTTTCTAAAAACAACGTCGTCCGGTGATGGAAATTGAATACCAAAACCATAGCCATTTGGAGAGTCTCTTGTTGAATCATATGGATAATTTGCAACCAGTGAACCACCATGTAAATTAGCGCTCATAATGAAGTTTTTCTTTTTACACCATTCTATGATTGCACGCACCTCTGGTTGGACTACTTTATAAAGCTCTGATGAAAAGCCAACGAATTTATCCGGGAAATTTCTGTTCAAGTCAAAGTTATTTGCATTTTCTCTTTGACCCAATTCATAACCATCTGGATTCATTGAAGGTACAATTGATAGTTCGATATTTTCTAGTATTTCCATAGCTTCTACATTCTTTTGGTAGTATTTTAAACATAAATAGTCTATTAAATATACCAACATTTGTCTACCAACCACCTCATCACCATGCATATTTCCCACTAGTTTAACCGAAGGTTTGAACTTTTGATCCTTGACACCAATGTCGATAGCCCATAAATCTCTATTATGTATTGATTTCCCTATTGAGTATAGCTTGGTAATATTTGGATATCTATTTGCTATTTTCAATAAAAATTGATGTAATTCATTATAATTTAAATAGTGATTATAATTTAAAAGATTTGATTCTGATAACTTTGTGTTGAGTAAGCCATCAATGTCAATTGTAAATTTGTTTCTGTTTTGGATAAAAAAGTTATCACTACCGATTGCAGGGGACGATGATTTGATTAGGTCTACATTTTTGGGTAAAATCTTTTTAATTCCAAAATTATATTGATCTTTTTTTTCATTTATCAAAGAGTACTGGGCATCGTTTAAATAAACATTGAACTCCTCCACATCTTCAAATTGAATTTGGTGGTCATAGTCATCGATTTGAATCTGATCTTGAAACAATTGCAATAGGTCATTGGTAATTTCTTGTTTTAAAAAAATTCTATATAAATTTAATTTTTTAAGTTTTATGCAATCTTTGTTACTATTATATTCTGCACAATTATTATTACTATTTATATCGTTATTGTTATTGTTACCATCTAGTGCGACAATAACATTAATAAATATTATAAGAAATAATATTATTAACCCATTATTTTTAAATTTAAAAATCATTTTTTTTTAGGGAAAAAAAAATAAATTTTAAAAAAATAATATAAAACAATAATTAATTAATATTGGATTAAATTAATTATAATTATAAAATTCTTTATTTGTTTATTTGTTTACTTTATTTATTATTATTTGTCTTATTTATAAATTTTAAAAATAAAATTTTTTATTATTTTTATTTTATTTTTATTATAATTACTATTTTTAACTATATATATTTTAACAATAATAAAACATTACTATTATATTGTTATTGTTTATGGTTCTTTTATTTATTTAATGAAATATCCTTATTTAAATATTTATTTATATTATCTATTTTTTTATTTTTTTTTATCCTGATTTAATTTAAAATTTTTAAATTAAATTTATAAATTAAATAATTTAAATAATATATTAAATTATATATTAAATTATTATAAAACTGCCGTTATTTATTTAAACAATAAATTAATAAATTAAAAAAATACTTACTAAAATGATTTATTTATATATATTATCGAAATATGATTATTTTAAAATTTTCCCTTTTTTTTTTTTTCTTTTTTTTTTGTTTTTTAATTTTATTTTTTTTTATTTTTTTTTTATTTTTTTTAATTTTTTACAAATTTAATTTTCATATTTATTTTTTTATTTTTTTTTTTTTAAGCTACTTGTGAGAATCATCGTTTTAAATCTTTTAGATATTAATTGTATATAGTTATAAATATATAAATATATCACCACACGCACACTCAAATAACCACACACCACACAATATACATTTTTAGTGATAAAAGTTTTAAAATTATTGTATAACCCATATAATCGCATCACTACAAAAACTATTATAAAAATATCCCCCATATACTATATAGTAACACACGATACAACAACACAACAAAACACATAATACACACCAAAAAAACACAAACACCAATATAAATATATGTATAATTATTATTCTTAATTTAAAAAGAACAATAATTTAAATCTATTAAGAGGAAAAAAGAACAATAACAACAATAAAATAAATAACAACTTTAAAGTTTTATTATTCAGCTCAATAAACATTACCAAAAATTTATCAGTATTAGTATCACATAACTAAATTATTAGTACTACTACCCAATTTGTGTTTTGTTTACTATTTTTATTTTTAAATAACTTTTATAACCACTACTATTACCCCCAACAAAACCCAATTTAAAAAATGTCATCATCAACATCACCAAGAACAAATGAAAGTAGAAGACCACCTCCAACAATGTGCGATAATGTTAGAGCTGCATCTTTGAAATGTTCTGAACAATTTTCAAAATTCGAGTGCAAAGTATTTTTTGAAGCTGCAACTAAATGCAGATCTACAAAAGTAAAATAATTAATTATTAAGAAAGCTATAATATTTTTATAATAATAATAATAATAATAGTAAAAATAGTCAATAATATATTTCATTTAAAATTTCTTTATATTAATTAAATTTTCTTTTAAATTATTAATTGTATGACTTTCACTAAATAATCAATATTTTCCTTCTATTATCATCAATTTTTCCAAATTTAAAAAAAAAAAAAAAAAAAAAAAAAAAAAAAAAAAGATCAAATTGGAAGACGAAGAAAAAGAAATTAAAAAATATTTAAAGGGGGATTTAACAGATTTGCAAAGAAGCTCATTAGAAAATAGGCTTGAAGAAATTAATAAAACCAAATCAACACAATTTCCTGTACCAATTTAATTATAGAAAACTAAAATTAATAAAAAACAAAACTTAAAACAAAATTAATTTAATTTAAAAAATAATTTTATTTTTTTTTTTTTTTTTTTTTTATATTTTTTTTTTATTTTTTTTTTTATTTAATAATATATAATATACATAAAAAATTACAACAAAAATCTAATTTCTTTTGAATTTTATAATTTCAATTATTTCTGGATACATGAGAATTATTCTTGATTTCAAGGAAAAATGAAAAATATCAAAAAAAAATATTTTTATATTTTTATTTAAATTGTATTTTTAAATTTTTTTTTTTTTTTTTCAGTTTAAAAAAATTATTTTCAGTTTTATTCCCATTATTTTTTTTTTTTTTTTTCTATACCCAAATATCATTTATATTTGGTTTTATATTTGTATTATATATAATGTCAAAAGTTATTGTTCCTCTAAGTCTAAAACAATTGGAAGATGACAAAAGTCAATTAATTCAATTGTTTATTGATAATGAAAATAGTATTCAAGTTTTATTAGACTGTGCAAAAAAATTCATAGGTATTTATTAAAATATAGTATTATTTTAAAATTTTATTTCCATAAAAATATTAATATTTCTTCTTTTTTTTTTTAAAATTTAAAAAATTTTCATTCTTTAGAAACAAACTGTGAATCATTATTAACAATTAAGATTTGTCAAAAACTTCATCATCTCTATGACCAAAAAGAAAAAGATAATTTAGAAATTAAAACTATTGTTGACAAAGAAAATATTTGGAGAAGTTCTATTAAAAGTTCTGAACTCAAAGGTAAATAAATAATTATTATAATGATAAAAATTAATGGTATCTTACTAACATTGTAAACTTTAGATAAAACAGAAGAGATAGAGAAATATGATTTAAATATGAAATTCTATGGCATGTTACCAGAAAGTATCAAGCCAAACAATGAACAATTTTTATTAAACATTTCTCAAGTTTCAATGATTATGGTTAAAGCCGCTCATTTCATCTATACCGACTCAACTGCAAGATTAAGAACCAACATTAAAGATAAAATGGAGATTGATGAAGAAAGTGTCAATAACACCAAAATAGAGAAAGCTACTGAATTATTTAATCAATTTAATGAAATTTTAGACAGTTCAATCAAAGACTTGCCAGCCAATCTTTCAATTGATATTATCAAGTACCTTAAAGAAAAAAATTTGCCAATGATCTGTGTTAGATTGTGTCATACTTTGGCTAAGAAAATTCAATCCAATAGAATAGAGTGTCAAATAGATGAAACACCTAAATCATTTGATTTAGATCAAATCTTATATCAAATTATCGAGTATTGTGTTAACTCAATTTTTGATACCATCTCCAAAATTGAAAAGAAAGTAAAAGAAAATGGCCATCTTGTAACCAACCAAGAGCTCGAAGATCTTGCTATATTAAAGAAAGGTGAAATTCTAAAAGAATTTATTGAATTTCTTATTCCAGAATACCTAAAAGATCCATATTCAATCGTCAAATTAGGCCAAAAACTACTTGGCTACGAACAATACAACCACGTTGTTTTATTAACTGAATTGGGTAGAATTAGATTAGAAAACTTAAAAAAAGAACAACAAGAAAGACTCGACCTTTTCAGCCAAATCCAGAAATACAAAGATGATATTGAATCTATTAAAAAAGTCAAAGGTGACACTACCTTACCAGAATCAAAACTCGATTCTCTAAATGAGCAGAAAAAAAAATATACCGTCCTACCATCATACGCCCTTATTGACAAAAGAGAATTAAGCAAACTTAATTTAGAGATCTCAACTCTTAGAATTAAATCAATTTTAGAAATGAAACGTGCATCCAAATATACATTGAATATTCAAAGCCATCTCGATGAAACTTTAGCAATTCTTTTGGATCCACAACATATCTACGAATTAGCTCTTCTATTAAAGAATACTGAGGTCGATACTGCTCTTGTTTATGGCCATAGATGTCAACTCTTCATTACCGATTTAGAGGCACTCAGAGAAAAAACTTTACCACTTCAAACTCAATTAGATTCTTTACTCGCTGAAGAATCCAATCTTCGTAAAAATGGCCATGCCTTAAGTGAAGATCTTACAACTTTAATTGCAAAATTAAAAGCTGATATCTCTTCTCTTCCAGCCTTCCCATTCTTCAGTACCCTTTCAAATCGTCACGAATATGACCGTTTAAATCTTCAAGTCGCTCAGCTTATGATCTCCTGTATCTTAACCAAGAAATCCTTAGTAGATTCAAAAGACCAAGCCCAAAAAGATTTATTAAATGCCAAAGTTAATGAATTGGTTAATGTTTGCTTAGAAAAATTCAAGGATCCAAAATATCTTTTAGAATTACAAGTCTACTTGAAAAATGAAAAAGAAGATAAGATCCTTATTCAAATTGCCAATCATGTTCTTAATGAAAGTGTTAAAATTGAAAATCTTCGTTTATCCACAAATAAATTAGTGGCCGAAATCAACAATGCCAAAGATGACGCTGAAAAGAGTAAATTACAACAAAGATTAAATGCTTTGCCCGCCCTCCCATACTTTTCAAGCAATATCGATTTTCAATACGATAAAACCATCTATGATTCTGTTGACACATTATTACACTCATTATTAGACCACTATTCATTTGTCGAAGAAAAAAATAGAAAGGGAAAACTCTTCAGCATCAAAAATATTGAAGAAGAAGGTATTCAAAAAGAAAAAGATGAAATTAATAATTTAATCAATCAATCAGTATCCCATTGTTTACCATTCATTAAATCACCAGTCTCTGTTCATCAATTAGCTACAAGTGTCTCACGTAAAAGAGATTCATTATTCTTAGATATTCAAAAATATCTACATCCAATTCTTGTTGAAAAACATAAAGAATCAATTCAATATAAAAAAATGGAAATTACAGTTTCAGTATTAAATCAAGAGTTAACAGAATTAACCAAATTCAAAAAAGAAATGCCAGCTTTGGATATTCAAATCTTAGAAAATACAAAATCATCCCTTGGAAACATTTCAATTCCATATATTTCAGAGTATTTGGACTCCCATTCATTACACTCAAAGCTTATTATTGAAGGTATTAAATTGTTTTATGACAGTTTGAAAGAATTATTTTCACCACAAAACCCAATTCCAAAGAATGAAACTGCAAATTTAATTAAACTTAATCAAACCCACATCGACACCGAGTTTGAATTATTCGCCCAATATATCGAAAATCCAGATACATTCACCTCAATCATCAACTTATTAAAAGAAAGAAAAGAATATAAACTTATTACTGATATTGGTAAATTGGCATTTGACAAATTAAAAATCTTTAGAGAATACCAAAAAGTTCAAAAAACATTACAAGACAAACAAACTACTTTAGATGAAGAACGTGAACAATTAAATAAACAACGTCGTCGTTTATCTGCTGAAAAGAATGAAGCTCTTAGAAATTCTACCATTGAACAAAAAGTTAAATTATTAGATCCACCATTCTACACCAAAAATGTTGACGACCTATCCCTATATGTTGGTAATCTTTTAGTCGAGTGTAATAGTAAAGAAAAACTTGAATTCGAAACCAAAGCCTCATCTAAAGAAATGGAGAACCAATTCCAATACATCCAAACCGAAAGAAAGCGTATTAACGACTTAGTCCAATCAAACATCTCTTTAATTTTAAGCTGTATCGTATCATTAGAAAAATTAATCTCATTTGCCAATGACCTTTTCAATAAGAAAGAATACAACTTAGTATTAAAAGTCGGTGCATCAATCGAAGATATATTAGATAACAAAAAAATTGTTATCGAAGAAAAAGAAGCTTTACTTAAAGAATCAAAAGAACTTCAATCTCAATTCCTTCAATCAAAGAGTACTAAAGAACGTGATGCCATCCAAGTTTTAATCGATAAAAATCAAAAGAAAGCTGATGAAGTCATTCCAACCCATACCTATGAAGAAATTAAAGAATTAACCTTAAAGATCACTTCAATTATGATAGAATCAGCAAACTTTGAAGATCTTGGTGAAATTTTACGTCAACAATATATTATTGCTTTTCGTATTGATACCTCACCAGAAAAATGGGATATCATTAGAAATCTTTCCAGCGAAGAAGAGTGGAACCAAACTAAGAATGAATTGGTCGAATATGTTATGAAAAAAGAAGAAAACATCAATAGCAAGATTGAACTATTAATGAAAGATGGCTTATTTACTCAATGTATCAAGATTTTCCCACACCCAAGTACCGAAGAAGCTGAATTGGATATTCAATTAAATCTTTTAATTAGTCTTTACGAAGCTGTAGACCAATACCAATTTAGTTTATTAAATGAAGTAATTCCAATCGTTCAAAGATACTGTAAACGTTGCTATCAAGAATGGAAACCAGAAAAACTAGACCCATTATATGACTGTGTTCAAAAACGTTTCCCAAGTGAAATTCGTGATATCTTTGAAGTTGCCACCGATATGTTATTAGTTAATATTTTACAAAGTCAATACCCAATATTCCTCGGAATGTTAAAATCATTCAAGAAAAGAATGGTTAATACCTTAGGTTTAGACTCCCTCTGGAATTCATATTTAGATAATTTCAAGAAAACTCATAAATCAAAGAAGAGATTAATTCAAATGATTTCATTTATTGGCGATAGTGTATGGAATATTGAAGCTCCAAACAATGGCACAAAAGCACCAGGTAAACGTTCAACACCAGCCTCTGCCTCAACTTCACAAAACAATTTAAAGAGAATTAAAGTAAACTTGGCTCAACAAAAGAAAGATGAAACTGTAGATGAAGAATTTTATGAAGATACTGACGAAGAAACTAACTAAAAATTAATTTAAATAAAATTGTATACATATTTTCTCCTAAGTTTTCACAAATATTTGCTAATAACCTTAATTTTCATCCCAAACGTTCATATATAAAATAATAAATTATTATTTAATTTTTAATTTTTTTTAAACATTGTTTAATTTTAATTTTGATTTTAATTTTTTTTTTTTTTAAAAAAATTTCAAGTTTTTTTTTTGCATATAAAATGAAACTGGCAATTGCCAAATGCAAAAATTTTACATATAAAATGAAAGCTGGCTATGGCCAAATGTAAAAATTTAAATTATTATTTTTTTAATTTTTTTTTTAAACATTGTTTTAATTTTAATTTAAATTTTATTTTTATTTTTATTTTAATTTAATTTAATTTAATTTTTTTACCAAACGAAAAAATTTAATGAGGGAAGTTTTTTTTTTTTTACATATAAAAATTAGTATGAGAAATGGTAATTTCTTAAGTCTTTTGGATATTAATTTATATGGGAAATGAAAATAATTGGTAGTCTTTTACTATTAAAAACTTCCATCACCCATATTAATTTTATAAAGTCTTTTACCTTTATAAAATTAACATAAGAAAAGAAAATATTCTGAAGTCTTTTACATAAAAAATTAATATGAGAATTGAAATTAATTTTATATGGGAAATCAAAATTAAAGTTTTTTAAATAAAAATTTTTACATATAAAATTAATAAAAGAAATTTTTCTGTACTAAGATATTTAAAACAAATGCCATTAATATCAAACAACTCGATATTGTTGATGGTTAGCTCTTCAAAAATGTTGGTTTTTATTGGGATGCATAATTGGAATTAAATTTGGTGGTAAATAATGTAGGAGATAAATAAGTGTATTTTTTGGTGATCTTTAAGGTGTGAAGTTTTTTTTTAAAGACTCACAAAAAAAACTCTGAGCCAAAAGAATTATTAAATTTTAAAAATTTAGTCAGAGGGGGGCCTAAGCCCTGGATCAATTGATTTCAAAGCCTACTACTTAAAGCGAGCTCAAAAGACGATCAGATAATGTGCAACCTATCATCATACTAAATTTTATCGCTGTGGCCAAAATGATGAATTTTTAAGGAGGGCAAAAAAAAAAACGAAAAAAATTATGGGAAAAAAAAAATTAAAATTTTTTTTTAAAAATAAAAAAAAGTTAATTATTTTTTTTTTTTTTTTTATTAATGTTTTTATTTAATTCTTTATTTTTAATTTATTTATTTATTTTTATTTTTTTTGCCCAAAATTTTGCTTAATAATGGTGCTTATATTTCTTTCAACTTTTTATTGATTTAAACTCATAAATTAAATTTATAAAAAATAAAAAAAATTAATTATAATAACTATCTTCAACATTTATTTATTTAGCCAAAATGAACTTTTGACAATGACACATAGACAAAGAACGAGCGAATCTTGTATTAATTTATAGTTTTTTTATTTTTTTTTTAAAAAAATTACTTATTTTTAATTGAAACTTAAATATTATAATAATAAAAAAAAAAATTAAATATTTTAGATTATAATATTACGCAATGGATATTTTTTTTCACTTTCCTAGTTTTGTGAAAAAAAAAAAAAAAAACCTGTAGAAAATTTATCATGATTTTATATGATGATCAAAATATTTATTATAATAAATGTTCTTTTTGAATAAATTTTTTTTTTTTCTTTAAATTTATATTATTAATAATTTAAATGGCCCCAGTTTTTATAAAATTTAAAGAAAAAAATGATAATAATATAAAAAATAAAAAAATAAAAAAAAAAAATAAAAAAAAAATAAAAATTTATAAAAAATTTTTTTTTAAAAAATTAAAATAAAGAAAAAAAACGAACGAAAAAAAAAACAATTAAATTAATTATCACAAACACACACATTAACAATAATAATAATAATAATAATAATAAATCAATGATTATTTATCTTTATATTTAATTTTTTTTATAAAAAAAAACCTACATAAATAAAATTAAATTAAAAAAAAAAAAAAAAAAAAAAAAGGGTAATTATAATTTGTTTTTTTCTCAGTTTCTAAAAAAAAAAAAAAAAAAAAGTTATACAACTATATACAATCCAAATATATTTGAAGATCTAATAAAATAATAGAAAATAAAGTTTTTTTTTTTTTTTTTAATTTTTTATTTTTTTATTTTTATTTTTACAGTAGTGATTGTTGATCAACACACTTTTTTTTTTTTTTTTAACACCTTATAAATATTGTTTTTGTTGTTTTATTCACACAGAGGTTGTAAATTTACTTTTTTTTATAAAAAAAATTTGCGAATTTTATACCCCTGCAATTTAATATAAATACACTCCAGCAGCTAAAATTTGTGTATGTCGTATGTTAATAAATTAAATGGATAAAGAATCAAAGATAATAATTATATAAAAATATATAACTTAAATCAAATGAAAAAATACCTCTATTTCTTAAATATATATACATAAAGATAAAAGGGACTTTTGTGTAAATGGTAATAATAATTAATAGTCATAAAAAGAGATAATAAACAACTAAAATTAAATTTTAGTATTTAAATACCCAAAAAAATAACACACACAACACACACAAATTTTGAAAGCCACCAAAATTTTTTTTTTTTTTTTTTTGATTTTTTTCAATATAAATAATTTATTAAAATTATTTTATTTTTATTTTTTTTTAAATTATATTTTTTTTTAAAACGAATATATTTTTTTTTTTTTAATTTAAAATTATTTGTTTTTTTCCTATTTTTTTTTTTTAATTTATATGCAACAACACAATTTTTTCATTTTAATATATATATAATTTCTATATTCTATATATAAATTTTATTTTTATTTTTCCTCTTTTTTTATTTTTCCTTCTTTTTATTGTTTTTTTTTTTTTTTTTTTTTTTTAAATGTTTTTTTTAATATTAAAAAAAAATATAGGAAATTATATGATCTTTTAGTACCAACACCTTTTTTTTTTTTTTTTTTATTTATTTATTTATTTCAGGTAGTAGTCTATCTGGATATTAATTATTATAGGGCATAGAATTTTTCTTTAAAACATTATTTTAAACAACAACTATAACACAAGAGAAATAATTTTAAAAAAATTTATTTTTTTCAAAAAAACAAATAAACTTGAAATCATTCAAAGTTTTATTTTTCTTTTTTTTTTATTCAACACAATATCTTTTAATATAAAATATTCGTTCGTTAAAAAGAAAAAGACACAGTATAGCAAATAATAGATATTAGACAAAAAAATAAAGCATAATAGTACCCCAAAAAAAAGAAAATAGTTAATTAAATAATAATAACTGTATATATAACAATAACAATAATAGAAATAATAATAATTTTAAATATTATTTAATTTTTTTTTTTTTCCAAAGCTATAAAAAAAAAAAATCTTTAGTTGTAGTTAAAAATAATCCTATAGTATTATATTCAATAGTATCTGCTCAAATAATATATTATTTCAACAAAATAATTTATTATAATAATTTTTTTAAAAACAAATACTTTTTTTCAAATTTTTTCTTTTTTTTTTTTTTTTTTTACAAAAATAATAGTTTCAAATCACCTGCATATTAAAAAAAATCGTCAAAAGTAAACAATTAGTAAATATTTTAAATAGAGAGTAGTAATAACAATAACAATAAGAATAATAATAGTAATAAAAATAATAATAATAAACTGTTAAAAGAAAATCATAATAATAATAATAATGTTAATAGTTTGGGAGAAAATCCAATAAGTTGAACAGCAAATTCACCAAAATCAAATATCACTATTAAATCTCCTAAAACGAATAATATAACCAATTCAAATAGTATTTCATCTCCATCATTAATACCAACTAGTCCATTAATCCTTTCAAAAGATTCAGAGACACCAACATCAACCACCACATCACCAACCCAAAGGAAAAAATAGCCAATCCTCAAAACCACCACCAAAACATGATACATTTTCAGCTAAAATTTTATTAGAAATGAGAAATAACAGTTCAACACCATCATCTCCATTGACAAACCAACAACCACCATCACCAACAATGATTGACTTAAGCTCACCAACAATCACTTCAACAACCACAAACCACAACCACCTCACCAATTCCATCATTTACACAATCACCATCCATTGATTTATCATCACCAATTTATCGTAATGGTCTTTCAAGCCCAAATTGGAGTTTACCATCCCCAACATGTAATTCAGGATCGAACGAAACTAGTCAATGTGTTTTCAAAGATTGTCTATTATGTAAACGTGGCACTCCATTTGCAAGTAACCAATCACCAACCTGGGCTTGTATCATGAAAATAGTTTTCTACTGTCTTCAAATTGAAATGCCACAAAAATCATTTTTAAATTTAAAAACCGATGTTTATGGTTTTATGACCACTCATTGGAATTTATTATGTTTAGATAAAAAGAGTAATTATTAAATACATATTAAATACACAAATATAATAGCATACACACTAAACAAATATTAATATTTTATTTTTATTATATTATAGGATCTGACAATTGGCACAAACAAATCCAAGATATGCTTAGCCATAGTAAAAATTTATTCGAAAGCGGTATGGATACTTATAAGCAAAACGGTTATTGGAGAATGCGACAAATTTCAGATCCATGGGATGAAATCAAAGCAAAGAAAATTATTACTAAAAGAAAGAGAAGTTATAGCGAAAATGACTCTTCAATGATAAATAATAAGGATCAATCACCAACCAATACTCATAATACTGGCCATTATAGTAGCCGTGATATTTCAACCACAGTTTTATCACCAAAATTAAATTTAAATAATAACGCCACCAATGCTAATAATAGTAACAACAACAATGATAATGCTATGAAAAAACTTACTTCCGCCGCATTTGAAGATATTGAAGAGGTTGCAATCGAAGCACTTAGTTCACCAATTCATTCACCTACCAATGAATGCCTGTTAAATTCTTCAAATACTACAATATCAAATAAATCATTGACTTCAACTCCAACTTTATCGCCAACAGTATCTATTAATAATAGTTTGAATAACAGTTTAAATAATAGCTTAAATAATAGTAGTAATTTCAGTTCAATCGATAAACAAATTCATGATAACTTTAATCAATTATCAAACCAATTAAAGATTATGAAGGAAAATTCTTTAATATCAAATTCTTTATTAAATGTCAATAATAATAGCAATGGTAACATCAACAACAATAATAATAAAGAAAAAGAAAGAAAATACCAAAGAAAGAGAGCAAATACATTGGATAGTAATATTAGTATTCCACCTTTACCAGTAATACCATTAATAAATAATTTATTTAGTAATAACAATGATAATAGTAATAATACTCTTTTATCACCAAGAAATTCACCAAATAGAATTTCTTCACCAAGGGTTAATAAAATTAATAATAACAATAACAGCAGCAGTAATAATGGTTTATCAACTCCATCACAACCTTCGTTACCCTCTTTACCAGTAGTAAATAATAGCTCAACTATTATAGCAGTAACCACACCACAACCAGTTGCCACTGCTTCGTCATCCTCGTCCACTGCTCCTTCTTCTTTATCTTCCTCATTAGTCTCAGAAGCCTCGTCATCAAACAGTAGTACTACAAATACTCCACCTTTATTCAGCATTGATAATTATAATGTAAAGATTGAATCAAATAATAATAATAATGTTATAAAAGAAGAAAAGAAGGATGATGATAATGATGATAGTATTCCATTTAACCAGTTAGCTCCGTTCCAACAAGTTACCTATCTCCAAGAACAATTAAAACAAACCTCAGAAAACTTAAAATATATTAGAGATAATTCATTGATTTCTGATAGAGATATAATTTCAAAACTACTGTCCAAAGAAATTGAAAGAATTTCAACTATCGGAAATAAAAATAGCCATAGCATTTCTATTATGGATACCTCAAGTGATACCCCTTTAAATAATCAACAACAACAACAACAACAACAACAACCACAAACACAACAAGATTCAAATAACAACAGTAATAGTAGTCAACCAAATATTCGCCAAGAAAATGATCGTAGTGTCCCAACATGTGATTTAAATGCCTTATCAGATATAATTTTTATGTCAAAATAATGAAATATATAAAAAGAAAAAAAAAAACTAATATTTAAATCTAATTTATAAACAAATAAAAATAATTAAAAACTATTATGTATATATCAATTTAAATCTTTTTATTTATTTATTTAATTAATTGATTGATATTTATTTTTTAACAATCACATAATGATAAAAAAAAAACACAATTTTTTTTAAGGAATAGAAACAAATAAATCACACAAAAAATGTTGTTTTTGGTTAAACCTTACACAAAAAAAAATAAAGATATTTTTATATCCCCATCAAAAATTTGGATTTTTTTTTTTATTTTTAAATTTAAAATGATAAATAAAAAAATTAAAAAAACTTGAAATTTTTTTAAGTTTTTTGTTTTCAAACAACTTAAAAAAAAATATTAATTTTTTTTAGTTTTTTTATTTACCAATTTTAAATTTAAAGTAAAATATAAAATTTACCAATTTTAAATATTTTTTTCAAAAACTCTTTTAATAAATTAAATTGCAGCATTAATAGAATGGACGAATATAAAATAAAGAAAAAACTATCAGATAATTATGGAAGATTGGTCTTGTTAGTTGAGGATAAAGATAAAAAGGTATAATCATTATAACACTTATTTTTTAATTAATTTCTAATTTTAAATTTTTTTTTTTTAAATAATATTTCACTCCCAAAAAAAAGTCTTTTATTTGCAAAATATTAACAAATGATAAAAATAGTAAAAAAGAATTAAAGAATTTAATTAGATTCTCCCAAGAAAAATACTCTCATTTAAATATTATCAAATACAGAAAACATTTTATGGTAGACCAAAAAGATATAGATTTGTTAATAAATAATAGCAATATTGACAATGGTAATAATAGTAATTGTAATAAAAGTATCAATAGTAACAATAGTACCAATAGCAATAATAATGATGGTAGCAATATTGATACCATCAATGATAGCAACAAAAGAATATGTATAGTTACAGATTATTATAATTATAATGATTTATCTAAAGTGTATTTTAACGACACATATAGAAATAATTGTTTATCAACAAGAGATTTTTTACCAATATTTCTAAGAGTATTGATTGTTTTGGCAGAATTTGAAAAATTAGATTGCTTTCACAGAGATATTAAACCAGAAAACATATTCATTCAGAAGGTATATATAGATGGAGATAAAAAAAATATAAAAGAAAATAATGTTTACTATGATTTTTTTATTGGCGACTTTGGAGCTTTTAAGGAAATTTCAACTGTTTGCTCATATACAAATGCAATTGGTACCAATTCATTTATTGCACCAGTAATTAAACTCTTTTAATATTTACAGGTGTATAATAGCCTCTTTTTATCTAATACCCATTTTATTTAATCATAGGACCTTTTTAAAAAAAGTTATGATATCAAAGCGGATGTTTATAGTTTAGGTAAAACAATGGTCTTTGTCTCAGATAAAATTATGTATAGGGGGGGTTGTTAATGGAGTTTATGATATTCTATTTCAAAAAATGGTTTCTGAAACTGCAGAAGAAAGACCATTTCCATCACAGTTAATTCATTTTATTTTAAATGAATATAGCTTTTTAAAAAATCATAAAGATTTTATAGAATGTTATAAAAGTCCAGTATTTTATAAATGTTTAGATATTATTAGATCAAAAAAATATAACATTGTTAATAATAGAGAACCTTTAATAATAAATTGTTTAGTTGTATCAAATAATAATAGTGACGATGATAGTGAAAGTGACAACAATAACAATAACAATAACAATAACAATAACAATAACAATAACAATAGCAATAAAGTTGGTTATATAACATCTTTCTCATCTTCAATGGAGAAATTTAAAAGTTGGTTATATAACATCTTCAGTAGAAAAATTTCTCTATCAATCTCACCCTCCTCATCAAATATAGCGAAACCGTCTCTGCTCCTTAATAGTGATAATTTTTTGTATCAATGCATAGGAATTAGTATAGATGGTTCAACTAGCTTATACGTTTTAGTTAAAAATAATTTAAACAATAACATCAATAATAATGATGGTGATATACCCAATAACCCAGAAAATATTTTGAATATTATAAAATTTACTAACAAATTTCTTATAAAAGAAATAAAAAGAACATTGAGTCTAATTAAAAGCAGTATTTTAAAGAAATATATTTCATTAAGGTATCATTTAGTCAGAGGATATATTCATTTTTTTGATGATTTTATAATAAAAAAAAGGGAGAATTATAATTATTCAGAATATGGTGAAATGATAGTATTCCCAATGGATCACAAAATAGCATCAAAGTTAAGTAGTAAAAATCAAGATAGTGAACATGGCAAATCAAACCAAGAGTTGAAATGGATGCTGGGTCTTCATCTTTTAATAATAATGTATATATTAGAGAATAAATTTGACCACTCGTTTTCAGAGCTTATAAATTTTACTGGTATATTTTATAGGTACACCTCAATAAATCAGTACTATTTTGATGAAGAGAACAAACTAAAAGCTAACCTTTTATCAAGTTTAAAAGATAATCATCCTCGAACAAGAAACAAAGTTCTTTCAGAAATAGTTGATGACCATTTGAATGACCCAGTTCTCAAAACCATTGTCGAAAAAACAAGTAATATGGTAATTTATCAACAATTTCTTTTTATATAAACTTAAGATCTAAACTAAAATTCATTATTTTACATTTTTAGGGTTTGAACCTTTGGTCAATAGAAGGGGCTTTGAAGTTTTTATATGATTCAATAAAAGAAATCCAAAAAGAAAATAATGAATCATATCCACTTCTCTCAAACTATCTCAAAGATATCGAAGATTTTAATATAAGAAGAAAACAATTGGGTATTGTTAAAGATTTTCTTTATACCAAAAAGCATACCTACAGAGTCATAAATGAAAACATTTCATTTGATTGCTTTAAACCGGTTTTTAAAAATGATTTTTATTTCAATTGTTGTTTAGAGTTAGATGGGGTATTTTAAAATTTTTAAAAGTGTAAACAAATAATTCAAAATACTAAAACTTTTTTAAATATTTTAGAATTATTATTTAGTAAAACAATTTGATTATTCCGACCTATTCCTTAGAAATAACATTCATACACAAATTTTTCGAGTCTATGATCGGTATACAGAATCTCAGCAAACTAATATAATTTACAAGTTTCCAAGTTCAGTAACTATTAAAAATTCAAAAATTATTGAAATAGAAAGCTTAAATTATAAAAACTACTTTAATGGTGTTGATTTTTTTTTTAGGGATTTCATTATTCAATTTTATAATTTTTTAAAAGGTATAGACAACGAAAGTTTAATTTTTTTTTGTAAGTAACCTATTGTATACAATATAAATTGTTATAATTACTAATTAATATTATCAAAAAGATGATTTTGTTATTATAGGTAAAACATTTTATTACTTTCCTACCCCTCATGGTACTTCTGTAGTAAATTGCTTTGCAAATTTCGAAGGGATTTTATTTGGAAAAAACACATTCCCAAAGGTTGAACACAACTTTACAGAATTTATATCTTATTTTTATAACTTAAATAACTTAAAATGTGAATATAATTTCGATTCTATTTCTAATTTTATCGAATATAAAATTATTGCCCAAAAAAATTATATAGAATATACGAATATAGACTCTAATGTTGTACTTTCATTTAAAATAAAAACATACAGATTGATAGATATTTTTTCAATCTATGAACTTCCTAACAAATATAATCAAGCTTTAGTTTTAATTTTAAAAGAAGATTGTGGCCCCAACGTAACTATTTAGCTATATTAAAAAAAAATATTAATTACTAATTTTAAATTTAAAAGTATTTTATTTGTTTTTATAAATCTTATAGAAAAAGAATTGACAATAGTAATTATGAATATTCTTTAAAAACCTATGAGGCCTATAGATGTCTGGAAGAATCATTAAAAATTCAATTTCCTGAGTTTACAATCTATAACGAATCCAAGCTTTTCCATTTTTATATGTACACAGATTCCTTTTTAAAAGATGTAGTTAATAAACTGACAACCGTCGAAGATTTTTTTGGGTAAGTTATAGTTATTAATTATATTTAATCTATCATTTTTCAGGTTATTATATTAATGTTATGCAACTATTGATTATAGAGGCCATACAAAAGAACAGGAAATTGGATTATTTTTATACTTTATTTATATTTTAAAATCAATTTCAAATTTTGAAGAGCCAAGTGAATCATTCTTTATCGATGATCCGTTCTTTATTATGAGTGAAGAAAAAAATTATTACTATATAGATTTATGTTTCTATTTAGAGGAAAAATATATATTTTTTCCTTGGGTAAATATAATTTTGAAAAAAAAAAGTAAAAAATAAATATTAATAATAAATATTTTTTTATAGAGTTACTATCTTAATAGTATAGAAAATTTACATAAAAAACACTTTTTAAATCCAATAAAAGAATACTTTCAAATAAATCAAGAGCTAATCCTAGAGAAGAAGCTATGTAAAGATTTATTTGAACATGAATGGGTATCAAGTTTAAAACCAATCAATATTGGAAATATATCAGAAGTAAATTCAAAAATTTCTGAAGTTATATATAATAAAAAGGTAATATAATACTTTATAATCTAATTTGTTTTGATTAATAAACTATTAATAGTTTTTATTTCTTTAGAGTTGTATTCAAAAAATGGTGGGCGAGAGATATAATTGTAATGAACATAATATTTATTGTTATATAGTTTCAAATATTAAATCAATGGAAGAGTACCCCAGAAACATTGTAAAATATCATACATCATATTCATTAAATAGAAAATCCTATATTATTATTGATAAATGCAATTCAGATTTAAAGAAAATTTTAGATTCAAAAAAATAGTATGTATACATTAAATATAATTGACTGTCATATGGTATTAATTTTTTTTTATTTTTTAACAATAGTTTAAATGAAAATGAAATGATAGTTTTATTATATGATTTAATATGTTCACTAAAACAACTAAATCAATTCGACATTGTTCATAGAGATATTAAACCAGAAAATGTTTTAATTGACGAAAATGGGAAATATTTATTAGCAGATTTTGAACTATCGGTAATTCAAAATAATAAAGATATAACAATGGGCATTCTACAAAAAGGAGAACAATTCAAAAGATCATTATATGACAGAGATGGCACAATTCATTTTCAAAGTCCAGAAATCTATTCGTTGGAACATAGAAGCAAAGATTTAGACAATAACCATAATTATAAAATGGATATTTATAGTGTTGGTTCAATATTACAAGAATTATTATTTAACTTTGAGGATAATGTTAAAAAAAAAAAAATAGATTATAACAAAGATACCTTTTTAAATTTAAAAACAATAGCTGGAAAAATGACTTTATTTTATGTATGTATATATTTATTTTTTTAAGTCAAATTTTAAAAATTATTAACTTTTTTTTTATTTTTTTTTTTTTGTTAAGTATGATGAAAGAATAGATTTATTAAATCTTGAGCAACTTTTCAACAAAAGCTTCCCAAATTTTAAAAGATAAATAAATAAAATATTTCCAAAATTTGATTAAGGTTTCGGTTTTTTTCCCAATCGATAGCAATTCCAAAAAAAACACAGAGTTTTTTTGAAGTGCCTCGTTTACATATGTATAAAAAATATTTTATTTTTATTTTTTTGAAACAATAATAAAAAACATAAAATGTGTATGGGCAATACTTCTTGTTCATTACGTTATTAGAAATAATGTTTCTCATAAAAAAACGAGAGTATTCATATTTCTAATTTTAAATCTTTTTTTATGAAATTTGGGGTTTCTTGGTAAAATTAATTTTTTTTAAAAAAAAAATAAATTAAAAACAAAAAAACATGATTTTTATTTTTTAATTTTTTTTATTTTTTTTTTTTTTTTAATTAATTTTTATTTTATAACTATTGATATTTATATATACATTTAAAAAAAAAAAAAAAAAAAAAATTATATTTTAATATGTTAAGCTCTCAAGGAAATATCAATTCATATTCATCTATTAAAAAAAACAATCCTCCTTCAATAATGAAAAAGTCAATATTAAATACCAGTATTTTGAAACCACAACCACCACTTCAACCACAGCCACAGCAACCACAACCGCAACCACAGCATAATAATGGCAGTAATAATAATAATATAAATCATCCACCACAGCAAATTTCAAATAGCTCTGTTAATCATCTACCACAAATTAATAAAACTAGTCCACTTAAACCAACACTCCCATCTGTAAATAAACAAGCACCACAACCAATTGTACAAAAACCAACTTCAACAAATGAAATTAAAAGTGTAAATAGTAGTCCCCAAATTCCAAACGCAGCTTTAGATTCACCATCTATAAAGCCAAACCAACAAGATAACGAAAATAAATCTTTAGGTGAATTAAACTCACAAGAATTCAGTCTTTCAATTGATATGAATGATGACCCATTTAAATATCTTCAAGAGGGCACAAACTCGACAGACAATGATATAATTATTTTAGATTTAAACAAGACAATTGACAAAGAAAAGGACCATCCCAAAGAAAATATCAATAATGCAAATAATAATAATAATAATAACAATAGCAATAATAATAATAATAATAATAATAATAATAATAATGATAATGATAATAATAATAGCGAGAATAATAGCACTTCCAATGAAGAAAAAGAAAAAGAAACTAGTAGCGATAACAATAATGCGAATAATACTGATGATAAGGATAATAAAGATAATACTGGTGGAAATAAAAGCAATCGCTCATATAATGCTATCATTCAAAGATTGGAGATGCTCGAAAAGGAAAAACAACATGCACAGGAATTAAAGTTACAACTAGCAAAAACTCAAGAGGAGCTTAAAAAATATCAGAATCAAGAAGTTCAGGATGAATCACCCTTTAATAACCATCCATCAACTAGAATTTCAAATTTAAAAGTTCTTTTACCAAACCAAAACCAAGCCCCACCACAGCAACTACCACCACAACAACAACAAACACCACAGGCATTAAAGAATAAATACTCAAACATAGTTGGTGGAAATAAAGGCAGTCCAAATACTCTCAGTAATAATAGTAATAATTCAAATAATACAAATCCAAGCAATACTAACAATAACAATAGTACCTCTAGTACTGGAAGTAGTAATAGAACGGTTGGATCAAAAGATAAAAGAAACACAACTACCCCATTAGCTCCACAAACAACATCCTCAACAACACATCCAGCCCCTGGTATTCAAAACATAATATCAAAAAGACAAAAATCATCAGATAATGTTGATGTATCAGCAGCTAAATCAAACGATATATTTGAAGCTCCACAAGATTTCATTGAACCAATTGATTCATCTGGTGAGTCTGTTACACTTCCCTCTGTAAATATAATTGAAAAATCAATTGCAAAGAAACACAGTAGCGAAAGACCATCTTCCACATCATCAACCTCACATTATGATAACATTGAATATTGGAAAAGTTTGGTTAGTAAACTACAAATTCGTTTAAAGAATGTCTCATTGGCTATGAATGGTGAATTCGATAAAAAAGAAAGACTAAAGGAAGAAATCTCACAGGTTATCAAGACTGAGCTTCAAAAGAATCTTAAATTGGGTGGTATAATTTCATCATCAACAACAAATAATAATAATTCAGAGCTCATTCAAAAACTTAATCAATATGAACAAAAGATTAATCAATATGAACAAAAATTTGCACAACAAGACCAAAAACTTTTACAACAAGAACAAAAATTTGCACACACCCAGGAGACAAATAAACAACAGTTTGAAAGTGAAATAGAGAAATTAAAACAAACTCATCAAAAGGAACTCGACAATACAATTAAAGAATGCCAATTAAAGATTAAAGAAAGGGATGACGAAACTAAAATACTCAAAGATTCGTTTGAAAAGAGAATTCAATTAGAAATGGATGATCATGATTCAGAACTTGAAGATTTGAAGAAAAATCATGAAAAGCAAATTGAAAGGATGGTTACCGAACTTCAAACTTGGAAAAACGCATCAAAGCTGCTTCATCAAAGAATTGCTGAACTCGAATCTATCACAAAAGAAAACGAACCAAAAGCAACTGAAATAAAAGTAACTGAAACAAAAGAAATTGAAACAAAACAAGAAATAATAGTAGATAATGATATTAATAAATCCAATTTTGAAGATGAAGTGCAAGAGGAAGAAGAAATTAGCAGCACTGCGGCTCTGACAAATGACCATAACCCAACTCAACAAAAAGAAAATGAACAACCATTGCTTTCCCAAAATGATCATCTTAAACAAGATTCAGAAAATCCAGAGGGCCAATCACAAGACCAACTTCAATTAACACTTTATGATCAACCATCTACCAACACCTTTGATGATTTTCCTGCTAGTATCAGCTCACACCCATTACTATTAACAAACAATGATTTCACTGCAAACCAAAATACTGACAAGTTTAACACTCAAGATTTTTCTGCTATGTTACCAGAAAGTAATAATATGGCCTTTAATGACTTTTTCTCCTCAATGACAGCTACCCAACGCGATAATCTTTTACAACTTTACCAACAACAGCAACAACAGCAACAACAATAACCACTATAATTGCCTATAAATAAATAGTTTTTTCTTATTACATTTAAAAAAAATAAATAAAAAAATTTTGTAAATATTTAAAATAAAGTTTTATTTGTAAAAAAAAGAAATAAATAACACAATTTTTTAAATTTAATAGTTTTATTGTTTGGTTATTATTTTTTTTGTTTTATAAAAATCTTATTATTGCTTATATAAAAAAATAGCTAAAATTATCATTAAAATTTAAATATTGAAGATATTATTTTTATAATTATTTATTAAGAGAATAACAATTTAAAGGTAGTTTTTAATGACCCCAATGTTTTTTGTGTGGATCTGAGTGATGTTGTTTTGATTTTCCCCGGTGGCTTGGTTCTTTTTTACCCCATGAAGAAACACCATTATCACTGTAAGTATCAGAGATTGAACCTGATGCCAAACTTGATTTAATTGAAGATCCAGCACTTGAAAGAGAAATAATTGAATCTATAAATAAAATAAAAATATAAAATATATTTGTGTTAATAATATTTTTATTTTATTGATTGTTTTTTATTATTTATATAACTTACTAAAGATCATTTTTTTTTAATATATTAAAATTTGTTTTTTATTTGTTTTTATATATAAATTAAATTTTTTATAAATATTTATATTTTTTTTTAAAAAAAAAAAAACTTATTAAAAAAAGATTTTTTGATATTGGGTAACACACTTTTTAAAAAGACTTTAAATACTAATTAATAGAGAATATTATTCCCCATATAAAATAAGGGGAACAATGAAAAACCAAACATTTTTTGATTTATGTATACATAAAAATAAATATATAATATTAGTAAAATTACCATTTAAAATTTATTTATTAGTTTTTTAAAAAATAAAGAAATTGTTTTTATTAATTTATTATTTAAATAAATTGAAATCTTTATATAGGTGATGTTTCTAATTTTGCTAAATATTTAAATTTTTTTTGTGGGTTTTTTCAAAAAAATATTTAGTGTTAATAAATTTTGGCTGATTCTATCCTAATTAAGATTGAACACAACAAAACTATGATTTAGGATTATGATAAGCCTTTAAAAATATAAAAAAGTAATAAAATAAATAAAAAAATTTTGAATTTATTTTTTGGAAAATTATAAAAAAAGAAATAAAATATAAAAATTTATAAATATTGCTAAAAAAAAAAAGATTTGAAGGATTTTATTTTATTTTATTTTTTACAGTATAACTATATATGTGGTGAAAATATTTACAAAATTATTATTTAATTAATAAATAATAATAAATTATTATTGTTGGTATTATATATAAGAAATCAACATTAATTTTTTCCTAAACTTGATTAGGAAATTTTACTTTGGAAATAAAAAATTGTGGATATATAATAATTTCTTTTTCCAATTATTCGTGTTTTTTGTTTTGTTTTAAATAAATTATAATTATAAAAAAAGGTAGAGAAAAACATTAATTGGATTCTTCGGCTAATCCGTTTAATAAATTAAAAAAAGACTAAATTTTAAAAAAAAAAAAAATAATATTAGTAATCTATTTTTATGTAATAATTATAAAGTTAAAATCTATTTTATACATACCATTGTTGATTTATTATTTGTATTATTATTATTATTATTTAATTGGTAAAATTGGCCTTGATAATTTTGTATTTTATATTTTTGTTGTTCGTTAAGTAAACTATTATTATTTATATTTGAACTATTTGTGAAGGTATTAAAATTACTTAAAAATTGTTGATTTTGGTATTGCTTTATTATTAATTCCTTTTCAAATTGTTCTAATTGAATACTCCAGTTTTCTAATTCTTTTTGCTTTTGTTGTAATCTTAAATATTCAAGATCTTGCTGATTCTTTTTATAGTCTAAAACATGTTGTATTCTTTCAATATACTCTTGCTCTTGTCTTTGTTTAACTTTTCTAACTGAAAGATCATTTTCTTTTTGTGTAATAATTTCTTTTTCGACTTCTTGTTCAAGGAGGAATAATAAAGATTCGGCAGCAGTTTTTGGTGATGATAATGGTGATGGAGCTGATGGAACTGCTAATTGTGGTGATGCAAGTGGTGAAGAGCTAATGATTTCTTGTGATGGGCTTGGAACACGGGATAATGAAAGTGGTGATGACGATGGTGAAAAAGTTGAGGTAGATGAAGATGCTGAAAAACCTTCGAGTTCATCGCCAGAGGTATTATCATAAGAGAATTTTCTTTTCTTTTGATTGAAAGGGGATAAAGTTGATGATGGATTTTGTTCGTATGTTGAGATAGCATTAGCAGCAGCTTGGATAACACTGGTCATTAAATTAAATGATGGAACAACCGCATTTAATGAATCTTGTTTATTTTTATTACTATTGTTATTAATATTAGTAGCAGTAATATCAATTGGCTTAGTTGTTGCTATAGTAGTGGTGGATGTAGTAGATTTATTTATTAGATTTTCTTTTTGTGGAGATTGTGGTGGTGGAGTTATTGTAATTGGTTGGGTGGTATTGGTTTTTTTCTTTTTATTGATAGGTGTGGTTATATTATTAGATGGAGAGGTAATTACTTGACTAATTGGTTTGCCTGAAAGTGTGGTTTGGCTGAATAATTTTTCTTGAAAATAGTTTTTACATTCAGTGCAACCAACAGTAAATTTGTCTTGAACTGGTGGATGTACATCAGGTGGGTGGGTAACTCTTCCTTCACAATTGTCTGGGCAAGCTTGATGTCTTTTATGGTGAAAACCACATGAAACTCTTCTTCTATTTGATCTTTTATCTTTTGGTGGTGGTGTTGGGGTAACAGTTGTTGGGGCAGTTGTTGTTGTTGGTTGTTGAGTCATCTTTAATTAACTACAATATTAATTAAAAATTATTAATAATTATTACTAAAAAAATATTTAAAACTATATTGAAAATAGTTATTGAGAGAACAAAAAAAAAAAAAAATTACAATTAAAGGAAAAATGATGTTATAAAAATTACAAATAAAAAAAAATAAAAAAATGATGTTATAAAAAGAAAAAAAAAAATAAAAAATTTAAAGAAAATACTAATATTTATTAATAAAAGAAGGGACAGGTAATGAAATAATAGATAAATGTTGTTGTTATTAAATAAATGAGTAATTATTTTGGACAGATGTTGTTGCTAACATTAGGAGATAGTGTAAAAAAATAAAAAAAACACTATGAAAAAAAAAAAAAAAAAAAAAAAAAAAAATTTAAAAAAAATTCAATTTTGAAAATTTCAAATTTCTTTTTTTCGATTATGAAATTTACACCCCGTCCCCATACTAAATTTTTTTTCCTACAACCATATTATATTATTGGGTAGGGAAGTGTCATAGGAATAAGAAAAAAATGCACCAAAAAATAAAATAAAAAAAAAAATTTTAAATAAAAAAAAAAAAATTATTATGTTGTTAGAAAATTTTATATTTATAATTCCCTTTTTGTGGATATTATTTGTATATGAAAAATTTAATTTTTAAAAAAATAAAAATTTTGAAATTATTTTTTTTTATATATGTGGGTATGAAAAAAAATTAATTATTTTTTTTTTGTTTTTTTCAAATAAATAAAAAACAAATAAATAAATCTATTGCTATTATTTAAAAAAAAAAAAAAGTTTTTATATATGTTATACGAAAGAATATATTTTTTTTAATTGGTTTATTAGGTCAAACTTTTTATTGTGATAGAAATAAAAAGATTAGTACAAATTTATTGTTTATTGTGAATATGAACGGAGGAAAGGTAAATGATAAAATGGAGCTATTTTTTTTCCCTTTATTTTTTTTTTTTTTTTTTTTTTTATTTATTTTTTAAAAATTGATTAGAGTTTGTGTGCAAACAAATTGCTGGTAAATTTAAAAAAACAAAATTTAATATTTTTTTAAATTTAATTGCAACCATCATGTGATACCCCCGGTCAACTAATATCTTTTGGTTTCGGTAAAAAAAAAAAATCTCTGTGTGGAGTTTGAAAGAAAACTCGCCAATGGTTTATTTTTTTTTTTTTTTAAAATTTTTGTTTTATTTTTTTTAATTTTTTTTTTTTACAATTTATTTTATTTTAATTATTATTTTTTTTTTGGGTCTCTGGTAAAAAAAATCCCCAACTCTGTTTGACCAATTAATTTTAAAAAAAAAATAACATTAAACAGAGATGTTGGAAATAAACAGAAAAAAAAAACAGAAAATAAAATATTTTATTTTATTTTTAACTACACAAAACAAAAAAAAATAAATTAAAAAAAATAATAATAATAAAAAAAAAAAAGAAAAATAAAATGGATTAATTGATCCAAAAAAAAAAAAAAATTTAAGATGTCAAACACAAACACTTTCCGAGTTTTTTGAGTCAAACAGTATTTTAACAAAAATTGTAAAATAATTTAAATTTTAATTTTTTTTTATTTAAGAATATTCGAGGAGTTTATATTAACTATTTTTGACTATAACAATAAATTTACAATTATTATTTTAATATTATTTATTATTATATATTATATTTATTTTATTATTAATGACTCATGAAATGATTTATGGTTTATGATTTATGATTTTTGATAAATGATTTATGATTTATAATTTATGATTTATAATTTATGGTTTAATTATCTTTTAAAAACATTTGCAGGAATATCACCTATATTTGTTGTAATTTTTTTAATCATTTCAGAAAAGTTGTTGATTCGCATTCACGATTTAATAATTTGATTTCAGGAAGTTCATACCAGAATCTATCACCTGCTCTTGTTCTAAAGAATTGTTCTTGAATAATGAAATAAAAAGTTTGGCCAACACAAGATCCTTCCATATGATCTTCAGCAAGACCACCAACATAGGCATCAATATCATCAATGGATTTATAGGTCTTCTTTAAACGTTCTTGAATAACTTTATCGGTAGAGATATCAGCCCAAGTGCTAACTGGTCTAAGTCCAATTTGTTTTCTTAATGAGTTGTATGATGGGATACCATGGTCACGATTTCTTTGGAGATTTCTACTGGCCAAGTCTAAACCACCTTGGCCTGGTTTACCAAACAGGAAATTTCTAAGATCGCTAATCATATAGATATCAATGTTTTCCTCTTCATTAAGATAAAAGCCACGAACAATTGGTTCAATACCTTGATTAAGAGCATGTGGATTGAAATATGAAAATTTAATTGGTAATGGTTGTAAACGAGTACCATTTTCGCTATAATATTCTAAACTTGGACCAACTTCACTATGACCAAATCTAAAAGCTGTTGATGTAAATTCCTATATATATATATATTTTAATAATTAGTATTTTAAAATTAACAGAAAAAATAGTAAAGTAAACATACATTTGAAACTTGGGCATTAACTTTTGGATTGTAGCCGGTATAGTGTGGTACAGATCCTAAAATAACTGGGAGGTATTCTTCATAGGTAATCTTTTGGACTTGTTCGATAATACAAGAACGTGAGTGTTGGAAAATTTTTTCATCATCCCAATCAGAGTGAGCTTTTGCAAATTTTCTTGCTAATCTATTATGTTCACGTAAGAAAAGAGTATGGATTACAAGAAGACCTGGATTTTCATTACCTCTACGCTCACCGACACTATATAATTGATCAATTGGGAATAAGTTAGCATCATTATCCATTGGAACACCTGGTACATTCTTTGGAGGTAAGTCACCGAGTTCCCGTTTGAGTAACTTTCATTTCACCACCCGAAAGACTTCTTAAGTTTTTGCAAATTTCTTCAGAGTTACCATAAAGAACATTTGCATCAATATATGCACCCAAACTATTGATTTGTTCATAGCATTTACCATCTTCATCGGTTTCAGTAATTCCATCATCACACTGTACTTGTGTTAATCTAGTTCTAAAATAATTCATTGTTTTATTTCCGGTACAACTTGGATCAAAATATTGATCACATTTTGGAACTACTATTGGCCATAAATTAGTCTCTGGTTTACTAAGTGCCATATTATGGATTAAAAACTAAAATTAAATAGTTTGTTAGTATTTATTGATATGAGTTTTATATTAAATAGATTTTAATAGATTAATACTTACTTGACCAAACATATTAAAGAAATCTGTTAAATGTTCTTTTGAACCAATACGTTGTTGTTGGTCAAAAATAAAATTGCTAACTGCTCTAGATGGTAAATTGGTAATATTTGGGTGTCCATTTGCGTTAAATTTGGATGGCTTTGCAAGTCTGATAAATGGTGTATATATTGAGCCTTGCATTGGCTTTTCTTTGTTATTGTTTTCACCAGTGTAGGATCTAAATTCCTCTATAGGTATTAAAAAGAATAAAATTAGAATTAATTACTATTTACTATTGCTTTAAAAAACTTACGTGAGTTTGTAAAGGTTGATAAGATTGTTAATATTATACATATTGATAAAAGTGTTGAAGAGGGAACTCTCATTGTGATACCCTTTTAAATATAAATGATATTTAATTTTTTTTTTACTATATAATTAATAAATATAAATGTTATTAAAAAATTGAATTTTATTTTTTAATATAGGGTCTCTATATTTTATTATTATTATTATTGTATTATTATAGTTATTTAAAAGTCTTTAAGTTTTAAAAAAAATAATTTTTTAATAAATTTTAAAAACTTTAGTTTATTAAAAAAAAAAAAAAAAAATATAGATTAAAAAAAAAAATTGATTTGGTTAAAATAAACAAAAAAAAAAAAGAATTTAGAATCTTTAGAGTTGTTTTAAATATTCTATTCTTGATTATAAGTTTTTATTTACTTATATATTTAAAGGTGTTATATATGGAAACTAAAAAATTGGGGGTGTTTTTAAAAGAGTATAATGGGGGTTCAAAAATTTTATTTGTTAAATGAATAAAAATTATATTTATAAATGTGTTATGGGGGTGGTTCGAATATTATATACAATGAAAAATAAGGTGTGGTATTATTTTTTAAAAAAAAAAAAATTGTCCCCCTATTTAAATATTATTATTTCCAAATCTATATAAAATTAAAAAAAAACAATTTTTTATATTTAAATATATTTTACATTTTTTTTATTGTGCTTAAATCATTTCTATATATAAAAATATACTTTATTTAAATAATTACAGTTTTATTATCTGAACACTTTTATTGTCAATGATTATAGTTGAGATATTTATAGCTTTAACACAAAGTATACTAATATAAAATTTGAAAAAAGAAAAAGAAAAAGAAAAAAATAGTGATTTCCAACAAAAAAAAAAAAAAAAAATTAAAAAAATGAAAATTATTTAATTTATTTCCAATGAGAAAAAATTAATACTAGATATTAATTAATAAATAACTAAATTTTATTTAATACCAAAATTATAATATATATTAATATCTTTTTTGTTTTCGTTGTAGTTTATTTAAAGTATAACTTTGGCAGCAATAAAAAAAATTTATAAAAAACAATGGGAGATATATTAGTGGGAGG